GCTTGGCAAGCCATGCTGTGGTGGCGTCCCATATAAAGTGGAGGAAGATGGGCACGGATGTTAGCCCAGGGCCAGTCTTCCTCAGCAAAAAAAAAGAGGAGGATTGGCGGATGTTAGCACAGGGCTGATCTCCTCACAAAAAAAAAAAAAACGATTCTCCTTTCAGCTCAGTCACTGCTTGTGCTAAGACTTGAATATATTCACTTATTCAGTCAGTCAGTTGATCAACAATTCTTTACAAGAAGTGTACCAGGTGCTATTCTAGGTGCTAGGAATAGTGATGAATAAGATAGTAACACTCTCTGGTCTCTTAGACCTTGTGATTTAGTGGAGGAGATAAACAGTAAACAAGTAAACAAATGCATTAGAAAAAAACTTGAGATAGTGATAACTGCTATAAAGAACATCAGATAGGATATTATGATAGAGAATGATGCATTCAGGAGGGGCAGGGGAGGGAGGGTACAAGGAAGATCTTTTGATTTCCATTGAGAATCTCAAAAGAAGCGTGGCTGCCGTAAATATATTTGAAGAAACTTGTCTTCAGCACTTAATATATATTTGTGTGTAATAATCACAATTAAGTTGAAGGAATGCTTTTTATTTACCTTTTCATATAATAGTAACAGTATTAATAATATCTTTATTTTATAAATGGAGACATTGAGTAATATATTAAGGGTTCCACAGTCATTGCTAGAATGCATTAAAATGTATGGCACCATTTATTTTAAAACTACTATTTTCTTTGTAAATATCAAATTTAAATGGTACAGTATTAGCTTTTTTAAATATTAATTTTCAAGAAGTAGTTATTCTGCTTTAATATTAACTTCATTTCTGTAAACTTGAGAAAATCTCCTATCATCTATGTTTCAGATCTGTCAAAGGCACATTTCAAAGTAGAATTTATAAATTCTAATAGTGCATGTAAACTGGGTCTAAAAATTGGTGATCAGATGACAAGTGTATTACTTTCCGTGAATGCCTTTATTATTTAGCCATTGAATAGAAAAATAATCTCTGTAAATTGTTGGTATGGTAATTTTAGAGATTATCCTAAACGATAACACATATGTTATTTGGATAATACAGTCATCAAAAAGAGTGAATTATGATCAAAGCAAATTGATTCAGGTATCAAAAGGAAATGCCAAAAAGAAGAAAGTTGTTGACTATGATGTGCAAGGAAATATAGCAGGAAGAAATAGATTTATTCCAATGGCTTTAGTTGAAATGGAAGAGAAGACAAGAAGGTATTTGAGTATAACAAAATCAAAAATTGACTAAAATTGTTTATCAATCTACGTCGATAGATCTTTAACTGAGTGTGCATGAGAATCTCCAAGGAAGCCTGTTACAAATGCAATTTCTTGAAACCTACCTTCAGAGATTCTGGTTTAGAACGTCTGAGGTGCAGCCAAGGAATCTACATAAGAAACCCCGGTGACTTGGTGCAAATGGTCAGCTGATCGACCTTGAGAAACATTGGTTTGTCCAATGACTCCATCCACAGCCAAGTCATCCATGAATTCATTTCTCCCTACTTGTTACTATTAACACTGAATTGCTTTAAGTAAATCAAAAGCAAAATTTAAAGAAGGTGGGCATGGTGTTGGGCAGGCTGACATGTCACATGAGGTGTGTCAGTGACCAGCACTAAGATAAGATGCAGGGATATAAGGAAGATCCACTCTGAAGCATACTAGTTTCTTAAACAATTTTATTGATGTAGCCTCAGAGGCATAATAGATAAATTAATTAATTGTTGGTTAATTAATTAATGGAGAAGCAGATTCCAATGGAAGAATAGTCTTTTGATCTTGAAGTAGAGATCTTTGACATAGAAATCAGTGGTTTGAGACATATGCCAAAAATGTCTACACCCTGAAAGCTTATCTTGAGCCCCTATTACATTAGCTGTTATTGGAATACAAAGACAATGAGGAAAATTCCTGTTTTCAAGTAGAGTATAGTCTGGTAGGTGCCAGTAGCATATTTGAGCTGCCTCTATATACTATTAAACTGAAGTGGAAAAATTAATGCTCTGAAGACATTAGAGCCAGATTTTCTAGGCTCAGATTTTGGCTCTGCCACTTATTAGCCCCTCTGTGCCTTGATCTCCTCATCTGTAAACTAAGAACAATAACAGTATCTACTTCATAGGTTGTTGGAGTTAATATATGTGCAGCATTGGTGACAATGCCTGATATAGTAAGCACCCTGTAACGTATACATTCCAGTTTCTGAGAAAACAGTACATATTGGAGCAGAAGTCAGTTCCTATCCCAGCTGTCATTTACTAGCCTCATAACTTAGAGCAAGTCCTTTGGCCTCTCTCAATGATAAAATCCCTCAATTGATGTCATGGTATGTGAAAACACTTTTGAAATATCAAAATGCCATACAAGTGTAAGATGTTTAGTAATATCATTATATCATGTAGTTTAGCTTCAGCTATATACCAAGAGTTGCCTTTTGTATAAGTTCTGTATAAAGAAATCTGGCTTATGCATCAAGTTGTTCAGCTACTACTCACAGTTTGCTTTTTCTTAATTTGATATTTACTGGTAACTTGCTGTATGTCACTGAGGACACAAAGATGAACAAACCAAAATTCCTGGAGCTCACAGTCTGGTAGTCAACATAGAAGCAAAGGGAGAGAACAACATTCTAGAAGATAGAGAGCAGGGGCACTTGGCATTCTCTGGGGTGGAGGAAGGAGCGGAGGGGCAGGGGAATGTAACAGAGGAGGTAGCATCTAACTGCATCTTGCCGGGGAGTAGGAATTTTCCAAGTAGACCAAGAGGAGGAAGGCATTCCAGGCATTCAGGGAGTTGCAGAAGGGATGTTCCGGCACAGGGCGCAACTAGCCCAAGGTAGAGGCGGGAGGTCGTAATAGGGGAGCCAAGTCATGAAAGGCCCCTCATGCACCACATCATGGAATTTGGACATTGTCCAGGATGTGATTAGAAGCCACTTAAGGACTTTAAATGCAGGGAAGTAAACAATCACGTTTACAGTTTAGGAATATCATTTGTTAGTGCCGAGAATGGAAGAGAGGCGAGGAAATCATTTTAGGAGTCAATTGCAGCGATCTGTGATATCATCTTGAAATGCTAAAAATTATTTACCAGTGCAGGATCCACAGGTAAAACAAAATAAAAACTTACGTCAGCCACTTTACTTCTCAGTCTCTATGGGAGCAAAAATAGACAATCTCAAACATAGTCTTAAGAGTGAAATAACATCAGTCACAACAAGATACACCAAAAAGATAATCATGGGTAGGGGGTCAGAAAAAAGTATAAAAGAAATTGAAGTTAAACAGAAGACAGTAATAAAAATTGTTTACACTAGAGATCTCAGCGAAGCTACTCATTGAAGTTTGGATGATACTCATCCTACCCCATCAGGTTCACAACATGAGATAAGGCACACGAGAGAATTTTGAATGATACACTATGGAAACATAAAATACTTTATATACTATACCGATAAAGAGAAATTCACAAAGGAGGAGAAATTTCCACTAGAATGGAAGCTCCCTGAAGTCAGGGACTACATCTCCCTTGCTTCCTGCTGGATCCTGGTGCCTTATGCGTAATAATAGTTACCATGGGCAGGAACAGTACCAAATACCCTATATGTTTTAACTCATTTAATTCTCGTAACACTTATAGGAGGGAGGTAGGGTTATCATCCGCATTTCACAGATGGGGAAAATCAGGCCCAGAGAGATTAAGGAGCTTCCCGGAGGTTGGCCACGCTATTAATAAATTGCAGAGCAAGGATGGATTCAAACCCAGGCAGTATGTGTCTAGAGTCTGCTTTTAACCACCGTGTAAGCACATCATAGACATTTGCTGATTTGGAGTGATTGGAGGAAAGATAATTAGAATTCCCCAAATTTTTAAATGATAGAATACTTTAAATGCAACTTTACTAGTTCAGTACTTTACTAAAGTTCCTTTATGTAGCAAAAACATTTGACAAATTATAAAGTATATCATATGTGTTTTACTAACAGGCAAAAGAATAATCCTTTGTGTATAAATGTATGCTTCTAAAAAGGTGGGGCTTTTTTTTCCTGGAACTCAAAAAAGTAGTTATAAAGTTTATTTGGAAGAATAAACATTCAAAAATATCTAGAAAAAAACTAAAAATAGAAAGAAAAGAAAAAAGAGCAATGGATGGTGGAAGGTAGCGCCAGATAGTAAAACACGTTATAAAGCCTCAAAAATTCGAATGATACGGTATTAGCACCTGAATAGACAGGCTAATAGAACAAAAAAGAAATCCAGAAAGAAACCAAAATGCATATAGAAATTTAGAATTTTATAGTAATGATCACACTAAAAAATTATTTTAAGACTGCATAGACATAAGAAATCTATCTTTCCTCAATCTAAAAAACTACTCCTTATAGTCTTTTCCATAGAATTTATTTATGTGACTCATCTTTATTCAGCAAATAGTTTAAGGTGAACTTTATCCTTGATAATCTCCAAATAATTATGAATTCTACAAAAATCAGTACCCAAATTATCTACACTAAGAATAAAACAGCTAAAACAACTATGACAAGGTAAATAAATGAATAAGGGAAGAGAAGTAGCATAAAAACAAAAGACCTATAAGAGAGTTGAGTGACGCTGACAGACCGTTTCACAAACATTCCTCGGTCCCCTGCAGAATGGCAGGAATTCTAATAGATGTCAGGGGTAAAATGCCCTTCCTTTCAGATATCTAAACAAGACCCTATGTAAAGATTTAAAGGGCTGTGCCAGAGGTTTGTGTGAGGGTCAGGGAACACTCAGGAGGGAATAATTAGTTTTAATGGGATTCAGGACGTTGAGGAGGAAAAGAGTAGCCTGCGTGAAGGAGGGGACATTCAAGTTGACTATAAAGGAGTAGAGTTCACCTGTAGAAAAGAAGGATGCAGGGTGGAGGCATTGAGGGGAACCCACTCCTGACATGAAAATGGAATGAATGTGGCCTAGCTAGGTTCAGGGAGCTCGTGGGAGAATAACAGGATGGGAGGCAGAAAAGATAGGTTAGAGCCACATATTGACTGGTCAGGAATGCCATGCCAAGAAATGTTAACATGATCCCATAGGCATCAGGGAAACCACCCAATCCGTGATTTTTAAACACAGAGGAATATAATACGTGTCAGACAGGACAGTGGGAAGGGAATCAATTCCCTCCTCTCTCGCCTATTTGTTATTGCCTGGAAGGCAGCAGCTGTGTCACAGCTGGTCTCCCTGCCTCTACTCCATTCCCCACACTGCAGGCAGGGACTTCCTACCTGGTCTCCTTGATCTCAGTGGCTTCCTGTCACTGTCATGAGAACCCTTATTTAATATGCCATATGGGGGTCCCTCGTGTGACCCCTGCCTTCCTCTCAAGGCTCCTCGGCCACTGCTCCTTCACCTGGCCCTATGCACTGGCGTATAAACTATTCCCGGGTTCCCACACATGACCCTCTCACCAGCTCTCTTAGCTTCCATGTGCTCTTGCCTTTGCCTAAAATTCCTTCCCTCCTCATCATTTTTTAAATACCATTCAAAGTGTCTAGTTCCAAGCACAGTACCTGGCCCATTGTAGCCACTCAAATATTTGTTGAATGAATGAATGAGAAATGAATGGGTTAAGTTCATCTGAGTTTTTGTCTACCCCTGGAAACTTTTTCTGACCTTGTTCCCGGAGTTTGCCATAGGGTGCCCTAATTCCCAGCCTGTGTTTCCCTACCAGTGTTTCATACTGTTTTAGAGTTGAGTGTTTATTATCCATCTCCCATCCCCCATAGATTTTGAACATCTTAGAGAAAAGGATTATCTTTTAGCTCTATGTCTCAGGTTCTAGAACACAGTAGCTACTACACATTAGTCTCAGTAAACGTTGGAGGGTATTTAGATGGGAGATGAGGAGGAAGATTTGGGGAATCAAAGCAATAGCAGTGTTTACAAGGGCATAATCAACAATAGAAAGAACAGATTGATTCTTCTCCTGGTGCTAGGGATACGAGTTCCCTAGGGCTGGAGGAAGAAGGCAATCTCACGTATTCACCTTGGCAAAGGAGAGAATGACATGACTTCCCCAAGAACTACTCTGTCCCGCCCTTATGGCTATTTGGATCCCTCCTCATAGATTATTTGCCCAAAGGGCACTGGGAGGCAAATACCCTGTAAGTCCCAGATGATGCAGTGTGCCTCGTAGGCACCCTGCCCACCCACCTGGGGCCCACCATTTCCAGGCATTCAGAAAAGTATAATCTCCATACATCACCATTTAATCTGCAATCTTACATCTTGGTTTCTGTTGTAGAATAAAGACCCCAAGATGGCTCGAGTTGCACTGGAATCTCTGTACAGATTACTTTGGGTTTACATGATTCGAATAAAGTGTGAAAGCAACACAGCTACTCAGAGGTAAGGAGCTGGCTTGGGTTAATGGTAACCACACACTCAGCCAGTGAAGAGGGTGTTTTGTTTTATTGCTACCTGCACTAACCAAACTAGAAGCCGTTCAAAACTGACAGTTTCTAAAAGGTCTAAGTCCTAAGGACATTTTCAGGCTTTCCTTAGTCATTGGCTCAGCAGCCGTTACTGAAACTCCAGCCTCTGCCAAGACTGCCAAGTTCCGTATGCAGGGCTGCATTTGCCACTTTAACAAAGGAAACAGCTATAATTTTCCAGCTGCCCTCAGTTTTCCAGAAAAACTTTTCATGGAGTAATTATGCTAATGGAAAAGGGATGAAGTGGTTTGTTTTCTTTTTCTGAATTCTCTCTGATGCTTAGATAAGATGAAACATCTGCCATTTTCCCTTAAAGAACTGGAGCTCAGCCAATCTTGCTTGTTTTCTCTTTTTTCCTCTTATCTTTCAGCCGTCTTATAACCATCATCACAACACTTTTCCCCAAAGGGTCCCGTGGTGTGGTACCAAGGGATATGCCTCTGAACATCTTTGTGAAAATCATCCAGTTCATTGCCCAGGTAATGGAGAAGCTTCTGGCAGTGAGAGTATTCTAATTGCCTTGAAGTAGCCGATCTCCTCCTTATGAATTACGAACAGATGAAGAGTCTAAAATAATATCTTACATGTATAGACTTTTCAGAATGATTTTGCAGGTGTTTTCACACATAGCTTATTTTCTTTTTGCTTCAAAACAAATCGTGACATGAGTACGTCAAGTGTTTTGAGCATTTGGCAAATGAAGGAACTGAGAGACAGAGTTTAAGTGACTCATGTAAGGTCACAGAGCCTGTTAGTAAAAGGGTCTCTTGACTCTTAGTCCTTGTTTTTTCCTGGTTCTCTGTGCTGGATCCTGTTAAGGCAGGAGGAAGCAGAGAGTCTGATGTTTGGAGGAAATCAAAAGAAGACACTTTAGTGAAGTTTGAAGAGTAAGTAATAATGCTCTAACTTTCACCCTGTGAAAAAGAAGAATGCAATAGGAATATTAGCATTTCTCAAGCACTTACTCTTTGCCACGAGCTGTTCAAAGCACTTTACATGTACTAATTTACTTAAACATTGGGTCCAATAATATTAAACGTAGTTTGCAGTGTTTAATGTACCATTTAGACCTAAGATTTTGACTTTTTAAAACACTTCGTGAGTAAATGGTTTTACTCCAACTTGGACTTCCTTGTGATTTACAGAGGAACATGGAAAGACGATTTTTCCATTTCAACCTCTGCTACGTGTCAGCTTTATCCCCTTAAACAAGTCAGAGAACATCTTTTTTCTCAGTTTCTTTATCTGCAAAATGTGGGTGAAAATGCTTGCTCAGTATACCTCAGAATGTTGTGTGGATAAAGAGAAATAATAGGCATGAAAATACTGTTGAATTACAATTGATATTGACATAAAGACTTAAGGTTCAATTGTTACTTCACAGGCTACTGAATATATGGTATCTCTCTGTGTGTTTGGTACAGTGAAATGCTTCTAATATTTGTACTTAGGGAAAGGATATTATTTGCTTTGCAGGTGGATGAATTAATGTAACTTTTCTACACGTAGTTATCATATGGCTGAGAATGGGCTTTGATTATTCTGGAATACGTTATATAAAATAAACCTGTCATATCTTGGTAGCCACTGTCTCGAATTATTAGAATCTAGCTTAAACTTTCTCATTTAAGTAACCTTAATATGTCTTTTTTGATGATTATTCATTTCACTTGCAGAATTGTCTATTACAATATGAGCCAAAGGACTTGTAATGCTAGAAAAAGAAGAAAATGGTCATTTTGCAGTGTTATTTTCAAAAATACATTTTAAACTGAGTTTCAAGAAGTTAGCTTCTGCAGTACAAGCAAAAAGAGCTTGGACTGTGTATAAGCCCAGACACACCAAGGGTTTTGGTTTTTCATTTTTTGTTTTTTTGTCATTAGTCATTCTGTGCTTTAGGGGCTAATTACGTATATCATATAATGCAGGCATCTCTGCACGCCACCCGAAAACAGAAGCAGCTCCACCACAGGTTCAGATGGGCCTGGTCCTCCTTCAGGGATTCCCTGTGAGCCGTAAAACTGAGCAGAACCTCTCTTCTTTGAGCAGCCACCTGTTTGGTGCATATGATGAAAATAGACATTTTACGTTGAATTTGTATTTTAACACTTGCTTTGTTTTCTCTTTTTCACTACAGGAACGTTTAGATTTTGCAATGAAAGAAATCATTTTTGATTTTCTTTGTGTGGGAAAACCAGCAAAGGCTTTCAGTCTCAATCCAGAGGTATGAATGATCCTCTTATGTGCTCCTAACAGAGTGTGCATTGGCAGAGCCATACTTTTGCTCTGCAACTTTGGGGAATGGTGCGAAGGACATTTTCTCTAAAAAGCCTTCTGTTTATTTCTGTCCATGTTATTTGACTAAATAGTAGAGATGATGGAATTTCAGAAGTAAGGTTTTGGATGAATAGACTTAGAATGATGAAAGATTGATGTGCTACCATATTCTGTTCTTGTATAATAGAGTAAACCTTGCCCAAAAAGATCATCTGTCACTACCAGTCACGTTGTTTTATTTTAGAAAAGTCAGTGCTTTTTCTTTCTTTTTTTTATTTTATAATTTTTATTTATTTATTTTTTCCCCAAAGCCCCAGTAGATAGTTGTATGTCACAGCTGCACACTCTTCCAGTTGCTGTATGTGGGACGCGGCCTCAGCATGGCCGGAGAAGCGGCGCGTCGGTGCGTGCCCGGGATCCGAACCCCGGCCGCCAGCAGCGGAGCGCGCGCACCTAACCGCCAAGCCATGGGGCCAGCCCCGAGTGCTTTTTCTTATAACTATTTTGATGCAGATTAACAGGTTGAATATTGGGAAGTGATGAAACAGAGAAGAACAAATACATGTAATAATAAAATACTAAAACATAGTAGAATTAAATAAATAATGTACGAATATATGTTCCTGTGGCAGCGTCCCAACTCAAAGGCCAGGCATGCCAAAGTATAATTGGCATGATATACAACGTGGAGTGGTGGGGCCAAACATAGTTGGCCAACAGAAATATGCCTGGCAAGCTGCCTCTTTGCAGCCCTTTCCCTCTAAGATTGTAAAAAGAACACTGAACCCGAAGTCAGTGGAGTTGGATTTGCCACTTGCCTCAGGCTCTGCCACTTTTACGAGCTACGTGACATTTGCCTCTCTGAACTTCAGCTTTTTTTTTAATACTAAAATGGATAGAATACTTTTCTAGATCACCTTGCAAAATTATTGTGATATTACAAACTCGTAAGCAAAAAAAGTGAAATAAATTGCACACCATAACAATTTTTTTTAAAAGATTGTTCCTGTCATCAGATATTATCTGGCTCCTTCATTCTGTCAATGAGAAAGGACGCCTAGAGCCCAGAGGCTCAAATTAGGCAGCTGGTTAGTCGCAAAGGGAAGGCAGGTCTCCTGGTATCCTCAAGCTTCTTCCCGCCACATCCTGCATTCTCTTCTTGGTGCTAAGGTTGCCACATGTCTATAGACAGCCCAAGAAGCCCCCAAATGGGAGTTTCTGTCTGGTGTGTAATCACATCACAGGCTTCTGAAATGGCTCTAGTCAATGGAAGGAGGTAAATCCAGTGCAAAGCCAGGGCTTTCTGGCTGGAAGGAAGCCCAGAGCACAGATAGTAGAGTCTTCTCTTGCTTGGGAACAATGGTTCCGAGTTATTTCAGTGGATAAAGGATAGTCTTTGCAATAAATGGTGCTGAGCAATTGGGCATCCACTTGCATAGATGTTACGGAACTTCGACCCGTAATTTGCACTGTAAGCAAAAATTAACTCAAAATGAATCGTAAACCTAAATGTAAAATCCAACATTATAAATCTTCCAGAAGAAAACATAAGATAGAATTTTTGTCACCTTCGCTTAGACAAAAATTTCTTAGGATACAAACATAAATTACAAAAGAAAAAGTTGATAAATTGAACATCATCAACAAAAGATCTGCACTTTAAAAGATACCGTAGATTAATATTAACTGTTAATAAAGTGTAGAGCGAAAAGTATTTGCAAAACATATATTGACAAAGCACTTCTATCCAGAGTATATAAAGAACTCTCACAACTCAACAGTAAGAAAATAAAAATCATGATCTTTTAAATGGGCAAAATGAACAGCCTCTTTACCAAAGAAGAGATACAAATGGCCAATAAGCCCATGAAAAGATGTTCAACATCATTAGTCATTAGGGAAATGCAAATTTAGACTATAATGAGATAGGCTGAGAAGGATACAGAGCAACTGGAACTTCATACTGTTTTAGTGAGAATGTAAAAAGGTACAGCCACTTTAGAAAACAGTTTGGCAATTTCTTATAAGGTTAAACATACACTTACCATATGATCCAGCAATTCCACCCCAAGGTGTTTTTCCAAGAGAAATTAAAACATATGTCCACAAAGGTTTGAACAAATATTTATAGCAGCTTTATTCGTAATCACTAAAAATAGGAAAGCAACTCGTGTTCAACAACTTGCTAAAGAAATTGCGAATCATCAATGCAATGGAATACTATTCAGCAATAAAAAGGAGCAAACTACTGATATTGCCACAATATCTCAAAAGCATTACGCTAAGTGAAAGAAGCCAGACATAAAAGGCTATGTACTCTTTGATTCCATTTATATCACATTCTGGAAAAGGCAAAATTGTAGGCAGAAATTAGATAATGATTGTCAGGTGCTGGGGCTGGGAGAGAGGACTGACTATAAAAAGGCACAGGGGAACTTTTTGGGATGATGATTTTGTATCTTGACTGTGATAGTGGTTAGCTGACTATATATGTTTCTCAAAACTCAAAGAACTATACAACTGAAAGGAGTGAATTTTACTACATATGAATTATATCTCAATAAACTTGACTTTAAAAAAATGAAGTGGACATTCTCGCCTACAGTATATATTTACCAGCAGGAACTTGTCAGACGTTTTCTTTAATCCTCACTATAGCCCGGTATGACCAATAGGTATTATTATCCTCATTTTATAAAAAAGAAGCTAAGGGCCGGCCCCGTGGCTTAGCGGTTAAGTGCGTGCGCTCCGCTACTGGTGGCCCGGTTTTGGATCCCGGGTGCACACCGATGCACCGCTTGTCCGGCCATGCTGAGGCTGTGTCCCACATACAGCAACTAGAAGGATGTGCAGCTATAACGTACAACTATCTACTGGGACTTTGGGGGAAAAAAAATAGAAAAGAAGCTGAGACTTGGTCTTGGGAAGGCTGAGTAATTTCTCAAGACCAGACAAAACGTAAAAGGGAGAGACATGATGCAGAACTATATAAAATACAAAAAAGAAATTATTTTTGAAATTAAGTTGAAAATATACGTCCCAAACTATCCCATCTTACTTCTGCCCTTAGTGTTGTCCAGAGGGAAGTAAAACTAAGAGAAGTGGCGAGGATGGTTCATAAATTGGATAATCCAGTTGCAAATAATTGAGGCTTGACCATCTATATCAATCCATGGGTATTCTATTGGTACTGCCTCTCCTGGATTAAACATTGTATTTCCTCACCCAAAGCATTGCTGTATCTTTAGAAAAATACACAAGCCTAGAAAACATTTCAAGAAAGAACTACTAAAATAAATGTGGGAACTAATGGACTTGGATATACAGTGAAATTTTTTAAAGTTAATAATTTTTCATTCTAGAAAGTGGAAAGAGAATATTATTGAAGGCCATAAAATCATAAAGTACACTTTGGAGTGGGTATAAATAAGCCAGAGAAATGTTCACTAAATCCTGGTTGAAATCTCATTACTCCTTAAAGCCTGAATAAATAGTTTTACAATGAATAGAAGTCAATATTACTTTATGTTATAAAATGTAATCATGTACCACAGAATAAGTGATACAGGCAAACCTGACTTGGACATATAACTTCCCACCTACAAGTTATATGGCCTCAGTTTCCACACCTGAAAAATGGGAATAATCATACTTTCCTTGCATGGCTATTTTAAAGAGGAGAGTTAATGAGTAATTCTGGATGCATTTTAGGGACTCAATAAATTGTAACTAGATTATCATTGTTAGTACTAGTAATTATTTTCTGCTGTAGATAGTAGTCTACTTTGGGAACTGATTACTTCATGTGGTTTTAAAATGAGTGTAAATGTTTTACACATGGCTATTTAAGGAAGTACACATGTTTTAGTCCCTTCTGACCTTTTAATATTATCACTCCAGGGAGCAACTATCTTACTGAGTCATCTTTCAGAGCCAATATTTTGCCTTACCTGAGCCTAAAGAAGAGAACGATCTGGCCCAGAATGGCATTTCTTCTAATAAGCTTGTATGCTCCTATCAGTAACAGGTTCTGTGGCACTGAATTTTTAAAATTTATTTTCAGACTTGCCAGCCTTTGTGAATCTAAGTCAACAACCTGCAATTCAGAGCAGACGATGTTTGTTCTGTGGTTCACATTTAGAACTCTTGCTTGTTTTCATTCAGTCTTTGTGAATTAACGCATGTGGCATGTCTCTCCTTCCAGGAGACATAGAGCCCTTTATGTACCTCAGTTACCTCAGTTGCAGCTGCTCCAGAGGGTGACTGCCTATCCCTTTGAGGTGCATCCAGGATCCCCAGACAGAATGTGATGTATGACCATCTCAAACATACCCTCCAAGTTTGGGGGCAATCTTCCCAGTTGTTTTCTTGTGATGCAGCAACAAACAGTGACAGAAACTTAGTTTTATTTTCATAGGTTTGACCTAAACTCTTGTGCCATTTAAATGACTTTCCCATACTAACCAAGATGGCAAGCCAAGTTTAACTTCTCTCAAAGACTGGTGGTTTAATTCCACAATAATAATTGGGTCTTTTTTTTATCGTGAACATATTGTCTCTCACAGAGAATGAACATTGGTTTACGAGCATTCTTGGTAATAGCCGATAGCTTGCAGCAGAAAGATGGTGAACCTCCCATGCCGGTTACAGGAGCTGTTCTCCCTTCAGGCAACACCCTGAGAGTGAAGAAGACATATTTGAGTAAAACGCTAACTGAAGAGGAAGCCAAAATGATTGGTGGGTTTCAAAAATGTGTTAGAGCTGGGCCTTATTAAGCTTTAACATGACCAATAGATACTTACCCTTAGTGAGATAAGCTTTTAAAAACTCTTCGTAAAAGTAGCTGATGAGACCTTCCAACATTAATTGTTTTGATTGATTCATGCTGTGCTTTGTTATACTGCCCTTTAAACTTTTTGGAACTTCCTGGCAAACATTTTTTCATTTAAATGTTAGACTTTTACCTATGGTCTTTTCAAACTTTAAAATATTGTCAATAATTCATGGTAAATTTCTGAGACATCTGTGTCCTTTTGTATATAATCCTGTTTATAAAGCAGCCATATTTGAACAACCATATTTGTTCATTTTTATAGTTCCTTTCCTTCTTTTTTTTCAATAAAATTAGTTTAATTTGTGTTTTAATCATGCCAAATCCCACATACGCCAAGTTATATTGTGGGTTTAGCCTACATGAGATTATTTTCTTTTTAATTTAGCTGTCTTAATCCCAAGAGGTGATTTTTTTTGCATTTGTTTCTTTCTTACTGAGTACCTGAATTTAGAAACCTACTGCAAACTTGGTTAGGATAGTTCCTCGATTCCAAAGGCCTGAAGGAAACACATGAGGAAACTTTTTGTTTTAAAATATTTATCTTTAGTTATGCAATGCTTAAATGAGTTCACAAAGATTTAATGATTGAGAAATAACCATTAATAATTATTTCATTAAAGTTTAAATTTTAAATGCAAAGCAATTTACTTTTCATTTGTATTATAAATATATAATATACATATGTGAAATACTTATGCTATACATATTTTTCTTCCACTGTAGGACATTGACACTGTATTTAATGAAAGCAGGAAAAATAATATAGCTAAAATATATATTCCTCCATTTTAAAATTTATGATGTGAAGTTGTTTTGTTTATTTTACTACAAAGATCCCACACATACATTTCAGAGAATAATATGAAATTATTAAAATCCTAACCCAAAGTGAGAATTATCCTTTATTCACATAATCACTCATGATGGTGAATTTTCTTATACCAACCAGAAACAAAAATTCTAGAGTAAAACTTTCTATTTCCTTGTTTAACTCTTCTGGAAAATATTTCCCTTTGATGTATTAGAATTCCTATTTATTGAATTTAAATGATTATTTGAACACCCACTAAGTGCAGGCACTATGCTAAGAGTACTGCAGATAAGAGATTGAATTAGACTCTGCTCAGAGAAGTCATTGACCCGAAGAAAGTCTTCAGTAAAACAATGTCATAGAGGATAAATTAAGTAGGATTTTATTCTTTGATAGATTTAGTCAAAGATATAACTATAATGCATGTTTTTCAGGCATGTCATTATATTACTCTCAAGTACGAAAAGCTGTGGACAACATTTTAAGGCACCTTGATAAAGAAGTAGGAAGGTGTATGATGCTAACTAATGTCCAGATGTTAAACAAAGAACCCGAAGACATGATCACGTGAGTACAGTGAGGGATAAGTTTTCAATGAAGGTTTAATTACGCCAAAAGACACGAGAAGAGAATCTTCTCATTTATTCTTCCAATTTATTCTGTATTTTGTTCTGATCTTCTTAGGGTCAGAGTTCTAAGAAGTGTTAAGGATGGTAAAAACATATGTTGATCGGGGCCGGCCCGGTGGCGCAAGCGGTTAAGTGCGCACGTTCCGCTGCGGCGGCCCGGGGTTCGCCGGTTCGGATCCCGGGTGCGCACCGACGCACCGCTTGTTAAGCCATGCTGTGGCGGCGTCCCATATAAAATAGAGGAAGATGGGCATGGATGTTAGCCCAGGGCCAGTCTTCCTCAGCAAAAAAGAGGAGGATTGGCATTGGATGTTAGCTCAGGGCTGGTCCTCCTCACAAAAAACAAAAAAAAAACCCATACGTTGATCATATTTGACTAACTCTAAAAGTCAAACCTGAGATTGATCTATTTTGGTTCTATCTCAAGTATCATTAGGCCAATAAGTGAGAAAATGGGGCCCAAGATTCTTTCACTGGTCCACATTTTTCAGAAGTGATGTTCTGCCCCCAAGCTCTATTACAGCCCGTGTGCTGTATAGTCACGTCACCAGTTTACAGACATTCCATCTTTATAAATCTCAGATTCACTTGTTCCTAGTGACAGCTCCTGAACCGTGAGAGTTAAACCTGTTTAATAGTCTGTATGCAACTGTGTCATAGAAATACTGGATTTTAAGAAAGCATTTGTAGCTTTGAATGTAGAAATCAAATGTTTTTAGCCAAGATCTAAGATCTAGATTTGTAATTAGAGCTCTGCAGAAGAAACTCATACAACTTATATTTGCTGCTTTTGATTAATTATGGCAGGAACTAGGATTAGGTTATAACTTTACTTTTTAAGAAAGTTTGGACTTTGTCGTTGCACTGTGAATTAAATTATACTTGGCACCTGTGTGGCATAAATTTCCAAAGATATAATTAGGAAAATTTCCTTTGTCACTGAGCATATCCAGTTCCAAATACCACAATTAGTTGGAAGGTTATTACCTACACAGAGAAGTTCATATTGTGGGTGTGTATTGTTATTACAATGGTAACATGTCGAAAACAAAGTATGACAAAATGAAACATGATAAAACAAAGTGAAAAATACAGAATTATTTTAAATACATATTTAGCAGTATATCAAGTTAAAATGTTAAAGTTAAAATCAAATTAAAGCCCTCCTCAAGGGCTCCACTTGAAATCTGCAACCATTCCTTGGCATAGTGTAATTCCTTCCAGACCTTTCCCTATGTCAACACAAATATATGTATATACGGGTTTTTTTTGCAAAAATGAGATTACCCAGTGCATATTATCCTGCAGCCCGCCAATCATTTGATTTAAATGTTATGAAGATCATGTTGCTTTAGATTTTTCAACCAAAGTGATAGCAGAATCAAAATTGACCAAGGTTACTGACATTAAATATATTGTCTGCTGCTCTAGTTCTCACCTCACAAATTGCCAGATTGTCAATAAACCTTTAACCTCATTATTATGTACTTTTTGAATATATTAAAGCAATTTTCAGTTTATAAGGCAGAAGATATAAGAAATGCTCTTAAACTTCTGTCATATAGTTGTTTCCTCTAAAAATAGTAAAGAAATGAAAGACCTTTAAGGGAAAACTATATTTATAATCAAGAGATCATAAGATAAGGTCAAGACCAAAACAATATATTCAAAACCATAAAAAGCTACAAGTTTAAATGTAAATGTAAACATTTCGTTTGTATTTTAACCAACACCTTAAACTTTTTCTAAGGTGATTCTTTACTTTTTCCTGTTCAACCATCTTAAGACCCCCAAATAGGCCTAGGAATATTTTTCATGCTAGGCTTTAAGGCAGATCCCTGATAGAAAACAACTCATAGCTACATTTCTGAAACACAAGGAGAAGCATTAGGGTATCATATAAGCATTTAGGAGGAGAGAACTGAGGTCCACAGCGTACTAATGGAAACAGTCATTAGAGTTGATATTCGAGGTTGGTCCACCACTTTCCCAGGCCCTGCTTAGGGTATAAACTTGAACATTTAAGCATTCTATGTTTCTCCATTTGCATTCCTCATCCCTTTTGTGATTCATGCTATCAAATAATAATAATAATAATGTTTATATGATATATAATAATAATATCTGTTAATAAAAATTATGTTATTTGGAGGGTTCACATGCTCCTATAAAAGCCCAGAGAGCAAAGACCGCAGTAGTAAAAGGAAATCGTGCACCAATTACAGTTTCTAATCTAGGCTTGCTTTATCAGCTTGGGAGCCTGGCAGGATTCCCCCTACACTCAGGCCAGGCAGGGTCATCTATTTTCCGACAGATATGAAAATAATCCTGGCTGTTTGAAACATCTGGTGCACGAGCTAGGAGAACTGTTGAAATGACTCACTGTGTTGCAAATGAACAATTAGGAGAGATCACTAGGCTCTAACTCTGTACAGCTATTGAGGTTGTCATTTGAATCAGACTTCTCTTTCCTTCAGCTGATTGAAAACCACTGTGTAATGACTTCCTCTCTAGAGTCCTTATACATCCCATGCAAAAGGACTATGGACAAGGAGAGAAAATAATCTTATGACTTTCCACAAAAGCAGAGTATTTTAGAAGTCAACATGTATCTGTTTTATTTTTCACATAAACAGTTTTGTATGCATTCCTAGGAAGCTTACAAAAGCGTGTTAAAAAATAATGTCACAGAGCAAAGTTGTTGTCTGATTATCATCTTTGTTTATAGAGAGGATGGATTCTGCTTGTTGCGTTTCTATTCTGACTGCAGTTACTGTTCCAAGAAGGAATTACTTCTGTGCTACTTTGCATTGTCATTATTGTGTTTATATCCTACGATTGCATTAATTTGATGCCAATTTTATATTTATTCTCAGAAGACTAAATAATCAGAATTTAATTATGCTGTTATATTTTATCACTTAAGTTATTTGAAAGATTTGGTAGGTTGTTTTGTTTTTCCATAAAGGTTATTGATAAAATATGTGGTTAAGAATCAAACAGTTATCTATTTAAATAACTAAAAATGGATATAATTTATCACAAAATTTACATTTTTCATTGAGATTTTGCCACAGAATACAGAAGGCATTAATTACCTTTAACATTCATGTTCTCAAGAAGGTAAAAAGAGAGAAGGAATCTCCATAGAGGTCAAGCCCATCAGTGTAATTTTAAAAATCAGAAATGGGTGCACAACTATGTATATACTTCAGGATTTTACTTGACATTATAAAAGATTTCTTTGCGGAAGCACTTAATTTTTTTTAAAAACAGGGATGGGGACTCTGGAGGTGAAGTGTAATTCATCAGGGAGAGAAGCTTCCATATGTCGTGCTTGTTAGAGGCACCATTCCTTGTATACATTAAAATCCCATTTTTAAATGCTAAATGTAGGAAAGACTGCAATATATTTTTTACATGCTGATGCATTTAGGCATTTCAGTGAGTTCAGTGTTTAAATGCAGCCTACAGGGACCAGATCCCATGGAACCCCAACTGAATGGCAAGCCGTGTGGTAGAATGCTATTGATATCAGCATTTTTCTTTTCAGATATATACGTTTGTCAAACATTTAAATCTTTAGAAGTTCTCTTAGAACTGGCTGAGCTATAAAGGGCAATAAACATTTGAGAATAATATGGAGCAAACACCAGGCAGTGGTTCAGCAGCCATGGAGTCTAGTCTTTGTTCACATATTTGGTCGATTTTTTTTAATGTTCTATGTTTAATCTTCTATTTTATTTATTTATTTTTTTGCTGGGAAAGATTCACCCTGAGCTAACATCTGTTGCCAATCTTCCTCTTTTTTTTCCTCCCCAAAGCCCCAGTACATAGTTGTGTATTCTAGTTGTAAGTTCTTCTATGTGAGCAGCCACCACAGCATGGCTACTGACAGACAAGTGGTGTGGTTCCACAACCGGGAACTGAACCCGGGCTGCCTAAGTGGAGCGTGCCAAACTTTAACCACTAGACCATCAGGGCTGGCTCTGATCGATTTTTTTTTTTTAGTTTTCATAACCTTTGCTCTGTGTTTAAGCTTTGTTTTCAAATTCTAGGGGTGAGAGAAAGCCAAAAATAGATCTTTTCAGGACCTGTGTTGCTGCCATTCCTCGACTGCTTCCTGATGGGATGTCAAAACTTGAACTTATTGACTTGCTGGCGAGGTGAGTGGGAACTGTAGTGGGCCTTATTTGATCAAAACTGATTTTAATCCTTTGTCGTGATTCCTAAAAAAATAGAATGATTATCAAAAACTGACAGATATTTACTAAATGAGGCATTATGCTAGATACTATGTATAGGCAAGGAGGAATAAAGAAATGTTTTTTATTTTTTTGTTTATTTCCCCCATGTTCAGGGGTTTAAAATCCAATGTGGAAGCAAATACATAAGCACATAAGGTAACTAACAATCCAAGGCCTGAAATTGTGCAAATTAATGGTACAAAAAGTGCGATATATGAGTTCAGTGATATATGAGTTCAGTTATGGACTGGGGAAGTCTGCTAATAACTCCTGGGAGAAGGCGGAACTTAAACTGCCCTTTGAGGGAAAGACAGAATTCAGAAAGGTTTATAAGGGGAGTGATGTGAGCAGAGGCACAGAGGCGGGACTGGGAAATGAGGAGATGAGTCTGGCTGGAAAAGAGTTCATTCAGGGTCTGATTCCCAATCTGAGGCCCACAGACCCCCAGAGGCCCAAAAAGGTGGATAACAGGGATCCTGAGCTAATTTTAGTACTTCAGAAAGCTGCCAAAACTCATATATTTATCATCCTCCCCATCCTCCACAAGAATGCACAGTCCAACTAGAACCTAAAGTTAATTTGCTTTGAGTGAAATTATATCATTATAGTTAAGTAAGCTTGATTTTGTCATGTTGATCTGAAGTTCTAGGTGACAGTTATGCATGTCTTTAATTTAAAAATCAAACGTGACTTATTACCTAAATGCAATTTAGAAGGCAAAATCATTAGAAACATAGGGCGCATGGAGGGAATGGGATGAGGAAAAACAAAAGTCAACCTCGATTTGGAAAAAAGAAAGAAAAAAGAGTTTAGAAACCCAATGATAAAAAGAAATAGAAGTAAGACTGGAGAGGCAGATTTTCAGCTAATCCTCATATTAGATAAGGCATTTGGACTGATAGAGTTTTTAAGCAGGAAATAACATGATGAAAAATGTCATTTTAGGCTGGTTAATCTAATAATGGTGAAGTAGAGGAAAGCCTGGAAAAGGATAACAAATATTAATGCTGATTGAATGAAAGATGCATTATGTATAACCTTGTTTACTCACATTCTCTTGCCTTCGGAGAGCACCCTTCCTATCAATATCCAAATAAAATAACCCGACTCCTGAACCACATGACTGCAGATCACATTGGCCTCCCTACAGCTTTTGAGTATCCTCATGGAGTACCGTGTCCCCTGGTGCTCTCAGCTTTGGACTGCCAGTTTGGCCTCCTCTGTTGATCACTTCCTGCTATCAATTGATGGCTTTTATTAGCCTACTGTCCTTCTCCATTGCTCTTCCCTCGAAATGCAGACACAGTCACTCCTTTCCTTCTTCCAGTCACCACTAGCACAAGAATGATGAAGGACTGTGAGGTTTACTGAAGACCCATTACCTTGAAGACCACTTTTCAAGCCCTGGTGCTCTCTGACCAAAGCCTTCTTCCCTTCTAGCTGGCTTTTGTCACCTACTACCTGTAACCCATTCTTTGCTTTAATCAGCGACCTCCAGGCCATGGGTCCTTCTTCTTTCTTCTGTTCCGTGTTTAGGACATACTATAAGAAGAATATAAAGTTAAAAAAAATTACAGCCTAGGCTTTTGCTGAGGTCTAGCAACTAGAATGTGAGCAAAGTGCACATTCATTGAAGTAGGAAAGCAGTGGGAAAGAGGGAAAAATAAGCCTGGATTAAAAGGGGCTTCCAGTTCTGGGTGAGGAGATCTAAGGAGGAACAAAGGGTGGATTCTCAAAGAATAAACATGGTGATTTGGGGGTGGGGGAAGTGGAGGAATAAAGAGACTGAGATGCTGTGAAGGATCATCCACACTAATATTGAGTCTCCCAGGTAGATAGCAAAGATGGAGAAGAAAGAAAATCTGTGAGACAAGTGCCAAAATTACCTAGAAACGGAAAAGAGCAGGCTGTAAGTTTGCTGTGGACAACAGCGGAGAGGGTGGTATGACGAGGAAATAAGTGCTTCCACCTAGGAAGGGTTGCTGCGTGAAAAGGCTGGATGTGGCTGAGAGGAACTAGGGAACAGAAGATCCCTCTTCATGGCCACATGAACCACCAGAGAATGACAGGCCACCATCCAAGAGATTTGGAAGAAGTACAACAAAAATGGGAATAAAACTGAATCATTTGGAAATCTTGAATTTTGCATCCCTGCTTTGCCATCTTACTAGCATATGATCTAGACAAATTATTTAACCCCTCAGCCTCTTTTTTTCCTTGGTAAAATTGGAATAATACTGCCTATCTCATAAGGCTGTTGAGAGGATTAAATGACATAAGACATAGGCACTTTGGTTAATCCCAGGGAAAATGTGTCAGCAGGGAAAAAAATAAACTGTCAGTTCAAATCAGTTAAACTGAAGTAGAAGGAAAGTTCACTTATTTCAATGGACTTCTAATTGGTGATGATTACGTACAGTAAAGCCTTTGAAATACTGTTTTTTAAATATCGCGCAGTGTTCTGGTCAAGTCTCTAAGGCTATTTTGCTGTAAGTCTGCGTGGGAGACTCTTACCTCTGGAATCACCTTGATAGCCCAATCCAGTGGCATCTGAACCTGCAGACCACGATGCCAGGCGTGTCAGGAGGGAATTCTGTTAGACATGGTTGGAATGTCAATGCTATTTATAGTGCATCATGTTTATTATTATGTACATTCTTACAAAGCCCAAAGCAATGGGTACTGTTTTTATGAGAAGAAAGAACAAATAAATATTCTTGAGAGTTCAAGTCGTAGGGCAAAATCAAGAAAATGACTGGACTTATATGGGAAGCCTGTGAAGAGGCCTTTTCCATAAGCTTCAAAAGAAGCCAGAGGCTGTTCTCCTCAGGGGAAAGATAGCTTGGAGTGCTCAACCTTACACACTGGGTCCTATTAACCGGTGAGAAAATGAGCCCCTTCAGATCTCCTTGAGAGGGTCAGAGAACAAAATTGAAGCAATTCAATCGCAATAAATGTGGGTTTCAAGTCTTCAGTCATTTTATTTCCCCATAGTCCAATCGCATTTGGATTAAGTTGCCTCTTGAGACAATATATGGTCTAGTCAGAGAGGCGTGAGACCTTTTATTTCAGACACTTCACAGTCACATCCATGGTACATTTTTACTGGAAAACACTTGGTTTTCTTCATAATTGGCAAAATAAGACCCACATTCACGCCAGTTCCCTGTCCCGCCCAGCCCAGTTTCCTGAATAAGGAATTTCAAGGATATGTCCCACATAATGCCCCCAGGCCCTCTTCCTAGCATTTCAGGTAATGGCTATATACTACAGACACGCTAACCTCAGACTTATATTAGTATGTGTAGCATAACAATGGTTTATGGAATGAAACTGGCAAACCCCTGTCTCCAAGCTACTAGATTTCTGATTTTATATGTATTGCTCAGCCCACTCATAATGGCCAAGTATGAGAAATCTTTCCATTTAGGCTCCATGGAAGCTACTCAGGCCTTCCTGAAGTTATGATAAGATCCCTGGGGAGCACTTCATTCCTGCTCTCAGCAGAGCCTGCCCTTCTCGGCTGTCTGAGTCCCCCAAGGGTTCTCCATGTAGGAGGGAGAGCTTAACTACTCTCCGTGGCAGTCGCCATCTTTTTTCTCTCACTCTCCTCCCAGATATATCCTGCTCTATCCCTTGACCACGGGAAGGACCTTCCCCCGCAACAGTCTAGAGGCTCCTGTCCTCTGTCACTTCCTGCAGCACTGTATATGCACTAAGGGTTTGCTGCTCAATATCTACCCTCCCCTTTCAAAAATTTGTCATAGAGTTGTGAGAATTAAATAATGCAATTAAATCACTTAGCATAGTGCCTAGAACACAGTAAGCTCTCAGCAAATATTAGTTATTTTTAGCCATCTTTACATTTGAATAACATATTATGCCATGACGTACAATGAATCTTCGTATACAATACGTTAGGAAAGCTGGGCACATATTCATTCCTATTTTCAGACAAGGAGAGTGAACTTCAGAAGAGTAAAGTCACTTGCCCAAATTTACAGAATTTTCCTGAAGTCAAATGAAAGTGACAGATGTCGCTGGTTTTATGCAAAATAACAGATGAATGCCTTTTAGGCAGTGTTTCCTTATAATTTGTGGAAATTTATGAGATAATGCCTACACACAATTCCATGATCTTCTGTGGTATCTGAAAAATGTTTCTCAGTTGCCATCTATCATTTGCTTTTCAGCATATGTTTCTATAATGGCAGGCGGCTAGTTGTTTTAAGTAGCCGAGTGAGAACTATAGTCTCAATTGCATGTATTGCCTCAATAAATCACTTAATCTTTAATTGAGATGCAGTTCAAAGCATATATTGTAAATATAATGTGATGGCAGTATAAATAGGTGGGAGTTCATTTTTTACTAGCTACAGGGAAGAAATTTCCACCACTTCGGTGAACCATTCCAAAGGTTAATGGTCCACCTGTCAGCAAGTCCCTCCTTGTAGAAACCCTTGTCTCCTGGACTCCACTCTAAAACCATTTCTTCCTCTCCTGCCCTTGGTGATGTTATGGGGCAGCAGGTTCCTCACCCCTTCCTGACAACCCTTGGTTTATCCTGCCGTAGTTTAGAGGAGGCTGTTTTTCCTCATCAGTCTTTTCTTCTGGATATGGTTTGTGGATTTGAAGTTACTCCCTTTTCTTTCATGTACCTCTATACAACAAAATTATTAAAAGCTACTAAGCTGATTTTGTCTGAATCTGAAGCTCACCTTTACAAAAGTGTTTTCCATTAAAAGTCATTTGTGTAATCTGACCAAAGAAGGTGGCCTTGCTCAAGTTCTGTTTTTTCCCAATTTTACCCCCGTCCTTACTTATTCAGTAGCAGCCTTGTAAGAGCAGCACGTGCCCTTACCATCACACCACTCACCTGCTCTAGATCAACTGCAAACCATTTGCCCCGGCACAGCCTGTGCAGAATGTCGTTCATGTCTAATCAGGCCAGACTGGTCGGTGCTCCTCTGCCAGCTGACTGGGAGGGACAGCTGCAGTTGATGTTGGCAACGGTGGTTTCTTTTGGTATGTTTCACTGCTGTGTCACTGTGAAGCCCTTTTAAGCCCCCCTCAGTGGTTTTATTTGTGTGTAACCATGTATCTGTGACCTCGTTTTAGGCTCCTGGAAACCAAATCAGCTTCTTAGAAATTTTGCCTTGGTCCCCCAAACTAGTCAGACTTCTCCGTGAGCTGCCTTCTCTTAGAATCTCTCTGTTCTCTTTCAACCATGCCACCAAACTCTCTCCCAGGACAGTTTTTTATTTAATTGCAGTTGTTTATTTTGCAGGCAAGAACCTGTCATTTCTTTTTGGTTGGGTTTCTCTCTGTGATAGCCCAGCAGGGGTTTCAAGAACACCCTCTCCTCACCCCCACTCCTTGCTCGCTAGACAAGGAGACATCACAAGACCTGCAAATATGTCAGCCAGCACCACACTGCTTTCCTGCACATCCTGAATACTCAGAATACTCTTTCTCATTTAACTTCCTTTTTAGTTAGCTCAATTCTTTTTTCCTGTTTCCTTATTTATAATATTAAATCTCATGTGTCTCACAAGATGATCTGTGATTATCTGGTTAAAATCTAGTAAAAGTAAAAATGAGAAAGATCTGGGTGTAAGAAATGGCAACAATATCCGATAAGCAGCTCTCTACTCATACTCTTTAAGGAACAAAGGCAGGGAGGGACCCCTGCCCTTGCCACAGCTGCTTCCCCTTCTCCCTCACCTGCTGCCATGCAGACTTGGCTTGATGCCTTATTTTCACTCTGTCTCAGTTCCATGACAGTCTGGACCTTTCTCTTCTGCAAACATTCCACTTTTATTATCAACCAGGACTTCTATTCCCGAAGCTCCTTCCCTTCCCTGGTCCTTCTCTTCATACTCCAGGAATATTTTTGAGTCTTTTCACTGCTCGAGCATGTGAGCACCATCATTTCAAGAGGAGTGGTTACCCAAAACAGCAAGAGCTGTACCACATTGGGGCTCTCAGAGTCCTTAAAATGATCCTGTATTATGGGTTGAAAGTTGAAACAGATTCTAGATTGCAAATTATGAATGAGAGCAAAGGTAGATGAAGAGTAGAATTAATCTCATTTGGAAAGCTGAAAGTATTTACTTAAAAGCTTCATCTAAATAGACCCTGACATGACTTTTATTTTGACTTCTAAAGACAGATGCTTGCCTAGTTTCATGACTATATTAGTTTGTTGGGGCTGCCATAATAAGGTACCACAAATTGGGTGGCTTAAACAACAGAAATTTATTGTCTCACAGTTCTAGAGGCTAGAAGTCCAAGATCAAAGTATCATCATGTTGCTTCCTTCTGAGGGATGTAAGAGAGAATCTATTCCATGCCTCTCTCCTAGCTTCTAGTGGGTTCTGGCAATCTTTGCCATCCATTGGCTTGTAGAAGCATCACCCTGATCTCTGCCTTTATCTTCACATGGCATTCTCCCTGTGTGCATGTCTGCCTCCAAATTTCCCCTTCTTATAAACTCACCAGTCATATTGGATTAGGGGCCCACCCTACTCCAGCATGACCTCATCCTAATTTAGCTAATTACATCTGCAGTGACCCTATTTCCAAATAATGTCCCATTCTGAGGTACTAGTGGTTTGGATTTCAACATATGAATTTGGAGGGAGACACAGTTCAATCCACAACAAAGACCAATATCATTACCATCAGTTAATGCTTATTGATTGCCTGTTCTTCCTGTCCTAAAAAGGTGGTTTGTCATCTGCGGGATACATTCATTAGGAATAATAAACTTAAGATGGGAAAATGGCTTCAATGTTTTTTATAAACTAGTGTTTTCAAACCATGGGCTGTAAGGTTGACTCAACACTGCTTGTAGAGTGAAAGAATGTTTCTTCCCAAGTGAGTGGGCTTCAGGTCCTTTACCCCAGCTTCAAGATTTTATGTATTATATATTCTACGTAAAATTTTTTGGAAAAAATGGAGCTGCTAATTGAAATACAAAGAAAGTTTGTAAATTCCTGCTTTAGATAGTCCTTAATTAGAAGCCCAGGTTAGAGGCCTCTAAGTTTTCTTTCAGCAACTATGATCTACTTAAGAACTGTAGACTTAATGGGGCAAGTCTTCCCTGAAGAGTTAGCTTAGATCTTCTTTCTGAGCATCTTTGTAGAACTTTACTTGCTTTTGGAACAGGATAGCTTTCTGACTTGGCATATATCATTAACGAGCTTTTGCCTGGTTTATATTGTCAAATTTGGACCAGTTAGTGTACTTTATGCTTTAGAGAATAAGAAAGGTATTTGCTTATCAAGTTTTTGAAATACTATCTATTCAAAAATATTTAATCGTGCCAGACTTGTTTTGTGGAGAAAACTTTGGATTAAGGAGTAGTCTCGGTTTGGAATCCTGGACTTTGAGAAAGTTCCTTAACCATTCTGGGTCACAATTTCTTCTTCTATTGGTTGGGGATAATATCTGCCCTATTTGTGGGGGCCCCCATTGACTCAGCCACCTTCTTCTCTGACATTGAACACTTCCAGGCTGCTGAGACCTGGAAATTTTGTCTCCTAAATATCTTTGATCTCCATCTCTCCCTTCCTTACTACTCCTCTGCCTTGGGTCAGGCTCCCACCACTTGTTGCCTAAGTCATTGCAGTGACCTCCTAGCTGGTCTCTGCCCTCAGTCTTGTTACTTCTCCAAGGCCTCCTCCATATTTCTGCCTAACTATTTTTTTCTCAGATGTGAATCTAATCATGTTACTTCCCCTATAACTTTCAAGAAATAGTCATTTTCTTCTAATAATAATTGCAAACATTTACTGAGTGCTTACTGCATGCTCAGTTTGGTGCTAACCACTGTACATGGATCATCTCAATGAACCTCAACAGATTTATGAATGCAGATACAGATATTATCCCCACTTTCCAAATGAGGCTCTGAGGCTTAGAGAGATTAAGTAACTAGCACGAGGTCACATAGCTACTAAGTGGCAGAGGCAAGACAGTGATCCAAGCATTCTGATTCCAGAACACAGACACTTAACCCCTTCCCTGCTGCATTGCCTCACAGACCCTTCACCAAGCTGCCCCTACTTCCTCCCAAGCACTGTCTCACACCTCACTCTTGCAAGCACCCTACCGAAAAGACACAGCCATACTGAACTCCATATCCTAAGGGTGGTATATAGTGGATACAGTGCCTAAATCTTAGGAGGGTCTCAAAATTATTTGCTTATTAAATAAATGAATGAATCTATAATGCATTATGTTAACTATAATGCTCCATACCAATGTCGAGATTTAATATTATTATGATGTTCTAGGTTAAACCACAAGTACTGATAGTCTTCAGTTGACTAACTCAGGATTTCTCAGCCTTGGCACTATCAACATTTTGGGCCAGATAATTCTTTGTCAAAGGTAGCTGTTCTGTACACTGTAGGATGTTTAGCAGCATCCCTAGCTTCTATGTACTAGATAGATCAATCAATGATGTCTCTAGACATTACCAAATATCCCTTGTGAGGGCAAAACTGATTGAGGACACCTGGCCTAACTTTTAATTGCTCATTTTCATTGAACCTCTGGATGAGTCCCTTAGTTTCTCCAGTACCATCCTTAAAAATGGTAGGGTTTGATACTTATTCTGTAGTCAATCGTGTATTAAAAAGTACTTGTATACAGCTAAATGCAACATGGTATCTTAGATTGCATTCTGAAACAGAAAAAGAACATTAGTGGGAAACTGGTGGAATCTGAATAAATTCTGTAGTTTAGTTAATAGTATTGTACCAATGTTAATTTCTTAGTTTTGATTAAAGTACCATAGTTATATAAGATGTCAACATTAGGGGAGCTGAGTAAAGAATGTAATAATATATTAAGGGAGGGTGACCCATTTTTCAGACACAAATAAAAGCAGAGACCTATATATATTCCTTTATAGATCTAGCAGAAACGCTAATAAAGTAAATGATTTTATTGTCTTTTACTCATTTCACAGGCTCTCTATTCATATGGACGATGAACTGCGACATATTGCACAAAATTCTCTTCAGGGTTTACTTGTTGACTTCTCAGACTGGAGGGAAGATGTACTATTTGGCTTCACCAACTTCCTGCTCCGGGAGGTCAATGACATGCATCACACACTCCTTGATTCGTCCTTGAAGTTACTGCTCCAGCTGCTCACTCAGTGGAAACTGGTCATACAAACTCAAGGAAAAGTCTATGACCAAGCCAACAAAATCAGAAATTCAGAGGTGGTTTTCCCATTCTTCCCACCAATTTATGTTCTTTTACGTAGTACGTATGTAAATAAGTTGCAGCCCGGAGAACCTTTGGTGCTCTTACTTCCAGCCACCTGGGAACTTTCTCCCTAGTGGTGGCCCTTAGTTTTTCCGTCTGCATAAATTATGACCAAGAAACTCAGGGCATGCTATGCCACATCAGGTTAGATTTGTTAACATTAACAAGGCCATTTAGTGAATAGAAATTGGATTTTTCAGAGAATCATGATTACAAATCTGTCTGTAGGAGCAAATGACTATAGGCCAGAGAGATAGAGGTTAGGGTTAGGGTTATGGATATATAAGTGGATATGGATATGGATATGGATATGGATATGGATATGGATATGGATATGGATATATAAAAGCTGTCCACCAGTTTTTTTTACCTTAGTCAGCAACATATTGGTTGTTTTGTCTAATATCCACAGAGAAGAAAATGAAGTCTTGTGGTTTCTCTGTTCTTTTAAGGCCTCAGTACTAAAAGGTAAAAATTAATGAGAACATTGTGGAGAGCAGGTTCAGGAGGAGTGTTGTCAGAGGAGAACCAGAGGCAGTGGTGACTCTGCATTGGCAATGAGTGGATGGAGAAAGGGGTCTGGCTAGAGAAGAGCATAGCTGAGAGTCTGAGGAACGTGGAGGCTCAGAGAAGCATAATAGCATTTAGGGAAGAGCTAGGATCCCAGATGGGTTAACCTCAGAGTCAAGGTTCAGGTCGTTCCTCTTTCCTTGTGTTCTTCACACACCAAAAGAGGATAGGTAGAAAAACAAGGTTTACATATGCTTGTAAAAGGGAAACTGACATGAAGGTGGACTCAGTCCTGTTGTCTGGCTTGCTTTTGTTTTAGACTTACTTGGTTGTGGTTTGGGAACTTGCAGAACCCATCTCATAAACCTAGGTTAGAACCTAACACAAAAACAAGGAAGCAAGTCTGATTAGAAAGGAAATGTTTGAAAATTAAATTTAATAGTATCCAAAAGTCTGTAGAGAATTTAGGTAAAAACAAATTAGGCCACTTTGAGTATATAGTGTAACCTCAAATGGTACAGACAGAAGCAGTTTTGTTTTTAATTAGTGTTAATAATAGCCTTAGAAAAGTTATTTCTTATCAGAGGTAACAGATGGTCGATGGTGTCCCAAAGCAACAACAATCCAAAATTAAAAAGGGATCTGTGATATTTCATGAATAATAATGAATTCATAGACATGTCTTGTTCTAAGCCATTGTAATCTATTTTAATATTACCAGGTCAAATGTGCCAAAAGATGTACACATAGTAGTTTCTTCTTCGTCCATTGTTAATTTTCTGAATCTAGACTGTTGTTCTTATTGCATGACAGCTAATTCCAAATGGCTCCAGCCACAGAACGCAGTCGGAACGAGGCCCCCACTGCAGTGTGCTCCATGCTGTGGAAGGCTTTGCACTGGTTTTACTCTGCAGCTTCCAGGTGGCTACACGCAAACTGTCTGTTTTAATACTCAAGGAAATCCGAGCTTTATTTGTTGCCCTGGGTCAGCCTGAGGTATGGATTATCCTTCTCAATTTTCCAATTCATTTCTTTCAACAGTTTTTTTTTTTTTTTTTTCCCCCAAAGCCCCAGTAGATAGTTGTATGTCATAGCTGCACATCCTTCTAGTTGCTGTATGTGGGACGCGGCCTCAGCATGGCCGGAGAAGCGGTGCGTAGGTGTGCGCCCGGGATCCGAACCCGGGCCGCCAGCAGCGGAGCGTGCGCACTTAACCGCTAAGCCACGGGGCCGGCCCCTCTTTCAACAGTTTTGAAGTTTAGATTAAAAACTATAAATAATGCATTACTGTTTTATGTACTTTTGTGTCACACATGATGTCAACAAATAATTTTTGATTCATGGTGGGTTTTTAATTATGAAATGGCACTCTTAATCTACAAGAGATAAGTCATATCTTCTGAGAGCGATAGAAAAGACCATTCCTGGTTCTCTAAGAGATGGTGCTTTGTTAAGAAGTGAAGAATTTTAAGATTAAGTTATGGATCATAATGTTCAGCATACATCGAATTAAGAAGATATTGTTACATTTATATTAGAGAATAAACTTGAGAAAACAACGCATTCCATTTAAAATGATCAAGGTACCGAACAGTCTGGCCAACTGAAAGTTGTTTAATCTCAATAATGATGAAAAAAAACGGCATCAGAAAAATACATGTCCCCTTGAGATGGGAGGAGTAAGTCAATTTTTAAGCATGATCAGCTCCAGCTAGCCTCCTGCACTCAGTCAAGTGCTGTACACCCTCATTCAGATGTTAAGGCACATTGTCTGCAACATAGGTGGCAAAACCCTATGCATGAGTTGATGAAAGAAAGAGTAGCTTTTTATGTCACATGCTTCTTTAGAAAATGCTACTTGCATTTTCTTATTTTAAATCACTGATCTTGGTTTTATGATCCTCAAAATAGTCATTGTCTTTACAAAATATTTTCAAATTCATCACAGTCCTTTCTGTTCACGTTTCTTCAGATAGCTTTCTGATGTATTTTAGGACCACGTCTCTGTTGTTTGGTAAATGGATCTCTAAGACATACTATATTTTGGTAAACCTCCATTAAGTCTCTAATTATGATAACAATGATAATAATGATTACCATGTGTGTGTCAGGCACTGTGTAAGTGCTCTACACATATTATTTCTTTCAACACTCACAATAGCCTAAGAATTAGTATTATTGTTATCCCCCATGTACAGATGCTGAGACTGAGGTTTAGAGAGGTTAAATGCCTTGCCCCAAATCAACAGCTAGAATGTGGCAGAGCCAGAATTCAAAGCCAGATATATATGCCTCTAAAGCCCCATGTTCTTAACTGCTATTCCAACAGACTATGTTAATGTTTTTCATGTGTTGCTTTCTTTGACCAGCCACAACTTTTTTAAAACCATTCTCACTCATACATGAATAAAGACATTCCAAGCTTTCCTATAAGGCTTCTAAGTAAATAGTTTTATATGTCTGAACTTCTTTATAATAAAGAATGGCAAACATACACATATTCATATATATATGCACTATTCGTGTAGAAGAATTTCCTATAAGATACTCTTTTCTCTCTCGTGCTCTTTCCAATTTGTTTCTTTTACCAAATAGCTGTACACAACATAGATACCACAGAGAATGTGTGGTCAGTCTTCAATGCAATTTCTTTGGGACTAAAATTCAATCACAGTCAACAATGTATCAGTTGTTTTAGCAGATCAGTAACCTAAAGTAAGTAGCATTTTAGTGGTCTGGCAAAGCATGTTCTTGTGGGGTCTCCATTCCTTCAAATGAATGACACCATGAACACATTAGGAAATAATGTAGGGTACTGGAATCTAGATTCCTGGGTGTGTGGATGAGTCTTTGAAATTCAGGTGCATGTCTTTTCAGTACAATGTGAAATTGGAGTTCTAATTATCTTCCACTGCAACTTGAAAGACTAAACTCAGAATCCCAGGGAGTTCTATCCACTACCTTTCACCATCTTGGCACTCACTTTTCTGTGAGAAAACCCTTATCACTATCTTGCAAACTGTTCTGCTTCATGTACTAGACAAAGGGTGGGGGTGGGTGGGAAGGATTCATTTTCCCGTGGACAATAATCGCCTCCCCTTTGTACAGGACGATGACAGACCTATGATTGAAGTCATGGATCAGCTAAGTTCTTCCATTCTCGAAAGTTTTATTCATGTAGCAGTTTCGGATTCAGTAAGTACACAGTTGATCCTAATTGCTCGTAGTTCTTAAGTGCAAGTTCTGGACCTATCTGAAAAAGAGAGACAAAGAAAATGATGTTGAAGAATTCCAGGGTTTTATGTCAGATTAATAAACTGACACAAAAGTACTTATGAAAACAAGACTAGCTTTCAATTACTAAGTTGGGAGACATTCAGATAAATTTCAAGCAAAATTTGAGCCTTAGGAATATAGATAATATTTTGCAAACTGCAGTTTCAAGAAAAATTGCTCAGGAATCTTGAAGAAAATTAATTCACCTTATTTGTTATACTTAACGCTGTATGTAACATATTTACATGGTCCTTTACAGTTTACAAGAGGCTTTCACATTTATTATCTTTTTTGACCGTCATAGGTATTGAAACTCAAAAACATGAAGTGGGGGGCCATAGTCACAGAAAAAAATGCTAGGGTCCGGACTTGACCCTATTTGGACTCTGAATCTAGTAGAGTTTTATCTGCTACATAAATACATTCTTCCTTTTAAAGAGCATGTTGGCAGCTTTCAATTTCCTGAACAAGTAGAAGGGAAATTTAAACTAATTTTAATTATCTGATTTTTAAAAAATCAGTACAGTACAGTAATGAGACCTGGATTAATTTCAGCTAAATAGCTGAGGAGAGGCAGGGCAGATCTGGGAGTGCTGCAGAATCCACATTGCTGGTGCCCCTTGTGTATTCTTGTCAAATAACTATAAATGAATACAAACACATTTGACAGATAGCCGTAAATGAATACGAAACCTAAAGGCATTTGTGAACTTTTCGTGGCCTTTACTAACTGAGATTGAAGACAGACCCCTGTTTAAGTAGCTGCTGTTGCTTATGGTTGTAATAATAAGGATAATCGCTAAAACTGTTAGCCAGGCAGTGCAGACCTTAAAAGTGATATCGAATAGTCCTACTTCTTCTTTTAGAAATTAAAATTGTTTTAACCTGAGATGGAAGAGTCAAGTTTAATTGTTTTATATACATATCTTATGTCCCCACAGATTATATTTTGTTCATGTGATTTTGTCTTGTGTTTATCAGAATCAAAATCTTGAGCCGGGGTAACTAGGTCAGCAATAGTGCACTTAGGAAGACGCACAGAAAGGGGAGAGGAGGAGTGGGGGAAAGCAGTGCCTGCTTTGTGCCAGGTGTTTTCACATCCCTTATCTCGAAGATTAGGTGAGATCAGCATTATCATTCCCAAGTCATAAATTAAGCAGACAGGGACTCTAGGATGTTCAGTAATTTTCCCAGGTCACAGGCTTTGGGCAGAGCCTGTATTGGAATCTCATCTCTCTGGCTCTGAGGCTCAAGCTGTGCCCCTTACAGCCCATTAACCATTGGGGCCACTAGAGTAGCACTTTCCCCATGGGAACCCATAGACCCAACAGATAAAATGGATCACTTTACATGCCTAGCAAGCATAAAGGCAACTGTCTCTCTTGGCACAACAGCTAGATTATCTGAAACTTGGTCTTTCTTAAACTTTGATGTTCTGGACTTAAAAGAGAATGAAATATAAGAACTTATGTGTTATCTATATATATATATTTATCTTTCAAAAGATTTTAGAATGTGTTATTTTGGCTTCATATCATAGGACAAGAATAAGTAGGTATCTTACCTCAAAAATCATCAGTAAAATGCCCTTCGTAGGAGGGATCACACTTAGCCATCTCCCTAGGTCAAAGGGAAGGTATTTCAGTCCACGTAAAGGTAAACAAGATCATGGCTAAAAGAAAAAAGTACTAATTACAGGGATAAAAACACATTCTTGAATCTCAGAGATTAACAACTTTTCATAATTTTAAAATGGCTAATCCATGGTCAACTTTAAAACTAATGTCGTATATATGTTCAACAAATATTTAGTGAGCACCTTCAGTGTATTAATGCACAGTGCTATGTGACATTAAAACTGTACAAAATATGACCCCTGTCCTTAAACTCATCACTGCAGCTGCTTGCAGTCTAGCACAGGAAACAGCGGTGACTACAACCAAGGTCCTACGTGGGAGGAATGATTCAAATTCAAAGTTTAGTCTGTTGCAGAGGTGGTCTGGAAAAGCACTGTGGGAGAAGGGCCATTTAGGCTGAGCCATGAGGAGGACACGTAGTTTACAGTTCAGCATTGATTCATTGCCTGTTCCTTGCACCTGCAGGCAACATTACCGCTGACCCACAGCGTGGATCTGCAGTGGTTGGTGGAGTGGAACGCAGTCCTGGTCAATAGCCATTATGATGTGAAGAGCCCGTCCCATGTCTGGATATTTGCTCAGTCTGTCAAAGACCCCTGGGTCCTCTGCCTCTTCAGTTTCCTCCGGCAGGAGAACTTGCCCAAGCACTGCCCCACAGCCCTCAGCTACGCCTGGCCGTACGCCTTCACTCGGCTCCAATCCGTGATGCCTCTGGTAGACCCAAAGTAAGGGATCTGTATGTTTTCCTTGTTTTACCATTTGCCCTCTTACATTTTCATTTTATTTAAGAGATTGGGATATTATAATCCTCTCTAGTTTCTGAACTTCCTAATACAGAATTCTTAACATTGAGTAAAAACAGATCAAAAGTTCTTATCTAGAGTTAGTTTCTTTTTTTCCTTAATAATCAATATAATTGTCTGAGTATAGAATCTTAGTCCTTCACTAGTGAAAAGGACTCTAAAGTTCTTCTATTCATCTTCCCATCCAGTGCAGACATCCCCTGTCCACAGTTCTTGCGGGTACAGACAATCCTTGACAGACAGTTGTTCAACTCTGAGCACTTCCTAGGATCTTTATTTAATAAGTGATCTTTAAAATCCAGAACTTAGTTTCGCTCTTGTTTTCGACTCCATATTTCTAGTAGCCCAATTAATGCCAAGAAAACCAGCACTGCCGGCAGTGGAGACAACTATGTTACCTTGTGGAGAAATTACCTTATTCTTTGTTTTGGAGTTGCAAAACCCAGTATTATGAGCCCTGGACACTTAAGAGCTTCCACTCCAGAAATAATGGCGACCACCCCTGATGGTACAGTGAGCTACGATAACAAGGTGACATGACATGCTTCAGAAGAATTATTCTGTAAGGTTTTTTTTTAGCTTGTTTGTCTAGAGTTCACAGTGCAGTTTGCACTGTGCCTGCCATCTGGAGTATATGGGATCAGATTTTCATCCTACACATTTCTAAATTCCATTGAGTGTTTATGTGAATAATTTATTGTTCCTCCCTGACAAGTGGAGAACTGAAGATAAAGAGAAGTTAAGAAACTTGCTTAAGACCGTAGAGTGACTTATATTTATTAGTGCCTGAGGTTTGGTTTGTGTCCGACATACTGCATTTCTCTCACTCCTTGCCAAGTATTCACCTTTAAACCATGCCTTGATTAAATAATCTGGTTAAAGGTAGTTTTGTAGATCTAAATGTTTTTTTTAAAAAAATAGAAGATTGTTATAATAAAAATGTTGTTTAGAATTTGTGTCCCAGGTGAAAAATGCATTCATTGTGCTGTATTAAAATTTATGGGTTATTTTTGTTTTGGTTTTTTTTGTCCTGAAATGATGGCAGTGCCTTGGGATGTGGTTCAGTACTTTGAAACTGTTATAATGGAATCATCGTTTGATTAAAGGAAGCGTCAGTTATCGTGTTATGTCTTTTTCACTTTTAATCAACTTGTTTCAGGCCATAGGCACCCCATCGGTGGGCGTTCTGTTAAAGCAGTTGGTGCCTTTGATGAGACTAGAGGGCATTGAGATCACAGAGTCCTTAGTTTTAGGATTTGGAAGAACAAATTCCCTTGTTTTCAGGTACAGTAGTCTTAGTTCTAAATTGTTCTTGTTCTTGTTCTAAATTCATACATGCTGCTGCTGCTGTAGTTCTGTTGTTAACTCCGGTGTGAGGGTATGTATTGGCATGTGCCTGGGGAGTTTATAGGCTTCGCACAATTTCCTTTATGTCTTCATTGGTTGACATGCATGTAACAGGCATTCCTTGCAACTGCCTTGCATTTTACTTTTAGTCATTGCGACTTTGATTTTACCTCTCAGATTTTATCTCACTTGGCAGCTTTGTTTAGGTAACTATAAATGAAGATGATTCAGTGTCAGTCCCCAGTTAGCCAGACTGTAAAGAGGCTTTAACATCAAAATAATAAGTGTCTGCTCATTGGCCATTTATGCAACAGGCACTCAAAGGTTAAGCATTGATAGGTTCAGAGGTGTCCCATTATACTAGTTGATCTTTCTCTAAGGTGCTTTATCTGCCTCAATAGAACTATCATACCTCACTCCCTGGATTCCTTACTATTTCACAGCTTTAATCAAATAACCACTCCATCTGAGGCAGTGTCAAAGCCTTTTGAAAGAGTCATCATAAAATGTTAGTTTGGGCTGCCTCTGATGACTAGCTAAGCAACGAAAGCCTAAAATCTTAAAGTTTTTAATATAGATAAGAAAGAGAAAGCTCCAAGCATCTGTGAGAAACTCTATTTGAAAACTAAAGACTAATGAGGTATTTTAGAGGCAACTCAAAAAGATCTGTTACATTACTCATGTATAGAATCAGATTTTGTCCTTAAAAAAAGTTATTGTTAGTTCTGACTACTTGAATGCCAGTTAACCAGTGTTTTACTAGTTATTAGTTAATTAGTAAGACAAAGCATCACATAGAAATCCTATAACAAGATAATAACAGTTCCTGGAATTACCTAACATTCTTTCCCAAAGATCCTAAGGCTCTTTTGCATATCTTACCATCTAAATATTCCTAGGGGTAGGTAAGATTATGCAATTTACTAGCCATGTGGGTCTGGAAAACTTAATGTCTCTGGTCTCAGTTTCCTCACCTGTAAAATTGGTATAATAAATAAAAATAAAGTGTATCTCTGTAATAAAAAAGTTGTTATAATTATAGAATCTGTCTATAGATTTATTGAAAGGACTAAACGTAAAAATGCACAAAGTAAATATTTGCTAAATGGTTGCTGTTAGATGGAGGAGACCATTAATATTATTGCCACCGCTTTGATGAAGAAATTCTAGCATCTGTATTGGAGAAATGTGGAATGGAATGCAGGCTGTCTGTCTCTCAGTGCAGAATGCCATAGAGTTTATCTTCCTGTCTTTGGATTTCCCTGGAAGGTGATATCTAATAGCACAAAATATCCTACCAGAAAATACAAGGTTTTCAAGCATGGAACAGACTATAGACAGAATACCTAGTGACAGGCTAGATCTCATAATTTTGTCTGTTTTGACATAGCAGTTCAGAAGGTATTTCCTAAAGAAGACGACTAATTAGATTAGCAGGTATAAAGCTGAGAACTGGAGATAATGGGGATAGATGAAGTATATATATATATAAAATACAAGATATATTTTAATATGATCATGGGCCGGCCCCGTGGCTTAGCGGTTAAGTGCGTGCGCTGCGATGCAGGCTGCCCGGGTTCGGATCCCGGGCGCACACAGACGCACTGCTTCTCCGGCCATGCTGAGGCCGCGTCCCACATACAACAACTAGAAGAATGTGCAACTATGACTTACAACTATCGCTTGGGGCTTTAGGGGAAAAATAAATAAATTAAAAAAAAAAAAAATTTAAAAAAATTTAATATGATCAAACTTTTACTTTTTACTACACAAGAGAAAAGGTTTTGATGAGAACCTCATTATTATAGTACTTGCCATAATTTGAATTTATCATTTAGTTCAAATAAAGGAATTTATCTCTGAAATTCCAAAAAGACTTCATTTTAAAATCAACTGTAAGTCAGTCCCCTGAGCACAGATTCCAAAGGTAGTGCCATAGTAATTGCACCCGTCTCTTTGGCTCTAATTAGACTGAAAATTTCTTCTGTGCAGGGACTCAGTTTTATTTATCTTAAATGGCACAGCCTGCAGTAAAGTGCTCTGAGTTTAGTAAGCATTTGTAAAATATTGTTTGTTTAATTTTTCAGATAAGGTTTTTTTATCATAGAGGTCGCCAGAACAGTAAATCAAAATGAAGTCAACAAATATGCATTGAGTCAAAATTATATACATAGCACTGGGATTAAGACCAATACTACAAAGTATAGGCCAATACCTAATTCACCACGTGATTGGGAAATGGAGAGGCCCGGGGAGATTTTGATGTCAGGAGCAAAGTGAAAAAAGCAGATGATTTAAGATTGAATGGATATAGTTGATGACAAGTTTAGTGCCAATAATAATGAATTCCAAATGTTGACTTTTTTCCTCCATAGAGAATTGGTAGAAGAACTTCATCCATTAATGAAAGAAGCTCTGGAACGAAGACCAGAGGTAAGATTTTGAATTTAAATAATTAATGCCTTGGATTATTTGGACAATGGTCTGAATTTAAATCAAACAGAGTGGTTTCCCCTAAAAAATACAAACACCCCAACATGCTTTTAACAATGAATCTTAATATTTTAACATTTTTTTGTTTTCATTATTTTTCAATATTTATCGAATATTTGATATAATATGGTTCCTATTTTAAAAGATTTTGTCCTTAACTTATGAAATAAAAACAACCTAAATAGTCATGTATGTGTTAAGATATTACATTCTTTTGCAGGAGGCTTGAATTGATTGAATTTTGGTTTTTAGTTTGTTTGCTTGTTTTTTACAAGGAGTTGGATGGTCAAGAATATTATTAGTTTCATCTGGCACGTGAAGCATTTTCCTCAACATTATCTTCCCTGAACTCTGAAAAGGATAAACTTTATAATGTAGCAGGATAAAAAATAAAATAAAAAAGAATGAGACTAAAAAAGAAGCTTCCCATATAGTAGATATGATACAAGAAGTAGTAGAAATTTAGTGGTTTGAGTAAAAACAGTGTTACCTTTGTGACCAGAATTGGCAGGATTATTAGCATCCACGATCCCCTTCCACTTGCTGCAGATGCTTCAGGCTTTCAGCAGATGCTGGGAGCATGTAGGAAATGAGGCTTGTTCTCAACATTGCCAGCTTATAAATATTTATTGACCCACTTATGATCTGTTTCTCTTGCAGCCTGTAATAGCAAGCATTTTCTCTGAGGATTAGGAAGAAAGAAAAATACATTTTGTCTTTTACACTTAGAAAATTGAAAATGACTAGATTATGCCTTTAATACAGTTTCCTAAAGCAAAGTTAATATTGTTTTGCCCATATCTATAAGTGGTATTACCTTTTTCTACACAGAACAAGAAACGCCGAGAACGGCGAGACTTGTTAAGGCTACAGTTACTTCGAATTTTTGAACTTTTGGCTGATGCTGGTGTAATAAGTGACAGGTAGGGTCAGAATTCTACTGAGTTCATCTCTCCTCACCAAACTGGTCTTTTTGTCGCTCTCTCTTTTCTTTCTTTCTTTCTTTTCTTTTCTTTTCTGTCTCTTCTGTCTTTCTTTCTTTCCTTCCTTTTTCCCTTCCTCCCTCTCTCCTTCCCTCCCTCTCTCTCTCTGTCCCTTTGTTTTACTCAGAAAAGTCCAAAAAAGCTTGTTGGGTTTTTTTTTTCCATATTCTATTTACACTGCAGATAGGTCAAGAACAAATTTAGTGTGTGAATTCTGACAGTGAATCTTATTTTCCATGAATCATGTGCTACTTTGACATAAAGACTAACCATCTAAAAGTTTAATTTCCTTTTGTTCCAGCACAAATGGGGCCTTAGAACGGGATACTTTAGCCCTCGGAGCTTTGTTCCTGGAATACGTGGACCTAACTCGCATGCTCCTAGAAGCTGAAAATGACAAAGAAGTTGAAATTCTTAAAGATATCCGGGCACATTTTAGTGCAATGGTCGCCAACTTGATTCAGTGCGTTCCAGGTACAGTGATGCATCACCGCAAATTACCTTTCGTGGTTGAAAAACCATTTGTGTTCCTCATTACTGGGCTTTCCTCTTTAATCCCACTGTATGCAGGTCTGGGATGGGATCGTTTATTTGTTTTGAAATACTTGGAAATACACATGAGAACAGATTGTGGTAATGCAGCACAGAGTTGGAAAGGGAACAATAGGAATTAAATTTGGCTTTGTGCTTGTCATTATTTCTATTCTTTGTTTTGGTTCCCATCTAAAAATGAACCCATATGATTTCCATAGGAAGGAAGTAATTCAGAGGGAACATTCACAGAGGCTTCATGTTTTCATTGTCTGATTGTACTAATCTATGAATATGTAATCTCAGCAATATTTCTGCTCTTGACTCTCTCCAGTCAACACATTTATAGAATTCTGTATAGCTTAATATATTATATTATTGAGAGAGAATTATTTTTCACAGAGCAAATGAGTGTGAAACATTTTCATCTAATGGAAGCATAGAGAATAAAAATAGCTGGGCAGTTTGTGTAAAAATTAATTACTGTAATTAAAAGTTTTGGGCATAATTACAAAAAGCCACAACTCAATTGTTTCTACTTTTTCATTATTTTGATGTTATATAACCTTCTTACCAATTCTCCTCATCTTTGATGACCCTAAATTAAGGTTTGAGTTTACCTCTTCAGTTAAAGTATGTCTTTAAAATAGACAGTCTAGAGGCCAGCCCGGTGGCATAGCAGTTAAGTTCATGTGCTCCGCTTCAGCGGCCCGGGTTTCGCAGGTTCGGATCCCCGGCGCAGACGGACACACCACTTGTCAAGCCATGCTGTGGCAATTTCCCATATAAAGTAGAGGAAATTGGGCACAGATGTTAGCCCAGGGCCAATCTTGCTCAGCAAAAAGAGGAGGATTGGCAACAGATTTTAGCTCAGGGCTAATCTTCCTCACAAAAAAATAAAATAGACAGTCTATACATTATATTTCACAGTTCTTCCTAAACACGGGCAGCAGTAGTCAAGAGAGCATTTTGTAAGTAAGCAGCTACTGAGTGGAAGGTGTTGCTGTTTTTCTAGACATTGATTAGAAAATAGCGTCTGTGAGTCCATTTTCTATCTCTACTTCCTGCTCTGCGACAAGGTACTATTGACAGCAACATGAGGAGAGGAAGAGTATACACTTAGAAAGATAATTAAGCTTGACTTTTAAATACATGTTTCATTACCTAAAGAAAACTTGAGTTAGGAAATGAAATTATTCCTTTCCCCAAAACTTAAGAATCAGGTATGATAGTGACGTCAACTGCATTCCCTGTATTTTCAGTCTAGAAGACCCTTTACTCTGTGTTTTTCTCCCTAGTTCACCACCGAAGATTTCTCTTCCCCCAGCAAAGCCTGAGGCACCATCTTTTCATCTTATTTAGCCAGTGGGCAGGACCCTTCAGCATTATGTTCACTCCTCTGGATCGTTACAGTGATAGAAATCATCAGATTACAAGATACCAGTATTGTGCATTAAAGGTAGGTCACCTTTGCCTCACTGAATGACTTTTGTCAGGTCAGTGGTCTCTTTCCTTAAACTGACAACCATGCCTTAAATAAGGTTAAAATAAATAATATAATATGATAAAATATAAGTGCACGTGTAAAAAAATCAAATAAACACACACATATAAATACATAAGCTGACTTTAAAAATTCCAAAATACATACATATAAATATAGATAGATAGCTATGTATAAATATGTAAATATTCCAATTGTGCTCACAATTTCAAAATGCAAAACTTTTCCAAGCTCCCACTTTTATCCAATGTTTATCCTATATGAAAACCATATGTTTTTACTTATTTATCCTTTAAGTAGTTGCCTTGCCCATTAATTTCCAATCTAATATATATATATGTTACCTCAAGTTCAAAACCTGCTAAAACCCACATTCCTTTTTTAGTCTCCTCCTAGAGGACTCCCAGAAATAAATTTCACGTTGCTAGGACTGTTCAAAATTTTCAGAAGCATGATTCCTTACAGCCTAATTTCCTTTAGAAAATGAACCGTATATCAGCTCTGTCATATATACTGGAAGTTGTTGACTCTCAGGTGGACTTTTGCCTCAATGGAGCTAATTTAAACCATGGTCCTGATAGTCATTTGGACCTAGTAATTACAAAGTTAATCAAGATCTCCCCATCTCTTACCTTCCCTTGCTTCCTCCTCCCCTCAAAGGAACTAAAGTTTATATTCTTCATTTTCTTTACCTTTAATTAAGAATCACAATTATTTATTTCCATATTTTTCATAGTTTGTCAATGTAGGCCATTAGTCAAATATTTGTAAGATTTGTCATTTCAGTACATTAGTCAAATATTTGTTATCAAAGCAAAATTTAAAAAGCTATGTTTATCTTATATGCAGAATTCATTCACTTGAAATCACTGAAGGTAAGTTTATTTTAAATACTGTGAAATGGTCATTTTGTTTTCAATATCTTACTTTTCATCATAAAGATTTGTTATAATCATTAAATTACATGTCCGTGAAGTTAAATGTATGGGTTTTTTAACTGTTATAAAAAGAGCCAAAATTGGGAATTTGGTATTTTTTATTTACTAAGGAATACTTTAAAATCTTGTGGAAATAACTGCTTTAAAAGACCCTCATCGTTTGTAAATCTGGTAGTTAAGTTTTATGAAGTCCACCGTTAGGTCCTTCCAGGTTTTCTTCCCAGGTTCTGCTGTGTTCTGTTATCAGGCAATGTCTGCAGTGTTGTGCTGTGGCCCGGTGTTTGACAACGTGGGCCTTTCCCCAGATGGCTACCTATATAAGTGGCTTGACAACATTCTGGCTTGCCAAGATTTACGAGTAAGTACTAGCCAAAAATACATTTGTTTCTAAATGTCTTGGTTGTTCTGCTTCAGTTGAGTTACTGAGGTGTATAAGCATTGTTCACAACACAATCTCTTCACACATCAGCCACCGAAGTGTAGGTTTATATGTTGTTCACATTACCCTATGATGTGTCAGGATAAAAAACACAGTAACATTTACCAAAGTTGACAATAAACTGGGCCATAAAGCAAGTCTCCACAAAGTTCAAATGACTGAAATGACACAGACTATGTTCTCTAATCATTAAGCTAGTAATCAATAATAAAAAGATAATTAAGAAATGCTCTTCCAGATAGCCAGTGAGTCAAAAAATAAATAACAATAGAAACTGAAAAATATTTTTAACTGAAGAATAATGAAAGTACTACATACTAAACTTGTGGGTTATAAATAAAACTTTTGCTTAAAATGAAATGTATAGCCTTAAATGCATATATTAGAAAGAAAAAAAAACTGATAATCAATTACCTACACATCCATCTCAAGAAGTTAGAAAAAGAATAGCATATCAAATTCAAAAAAAGTACAATGAAGGAAATAATAGAGAAAAGAGTAGAAATTAATGAAGAGAAAAAAATTAATAGAGATGATTATTTAAGCCAAAAGTTGAATTTGTTAAAAGACTAATAAAATTAATAAATCCATGGCAAGTCTGATCGAGAGAGAGAGAAGACACATGTCACTAGCATCAGAAATGTAAAGGGGGCATCACTATAGATACTACAGATATTAAAAATAAAAGAGAACATAGAAACAACTTTGTGCTGATATATTTGAAAATTTAGATAAAATAGACAAATTCCTAGAAAAAGACAACACAAGAAGAAAAGAAAATCAGAATAGTCATTTAAGTAATAAAGAAATTTAATCTGTAATTGAAATTCTTCTCACAAAGGAAACTTTAGGACCAGTTGCTTTACTGATGAATTCAACATGTAAGGAACAAATTGCATTGATTTAATAAATCCTTAATAATAAGGATTTCCCAAATCCTTAAAGGGAAAACAGCTCAAGAGGAAATATCTTCCAATGTATTTTATGAGACCAGCATAACCTTGATACTAAAACCTGACCAGGATTTAGCAAGAAAGAAAATTAAAAGGCAATTTTATTCATGAGCATAGAAACAAAAACTTTAAACAAAATTTTAGAAATTGAATTCAGTGATATATAAAAAAGATAATTCATCATGATCATGTGGGAATTATTCAAGAACTGCAAGATTTAATATTCAAATGTCTGTCAATTCATTAGTATATTAATTAGATTAATAGAGTCTCAAGAAGGAAATATTGTTTGATCATCTCAATAGATGCAGAAAAAGCATTTAATAAAATTCTACATTCATTCATGAGAAAAACTCCCAACAAAACTAAGAATAAAAAAGAACTTCCTTACCTTGATAAAGGGTGTCTTAAAAAAAATAATAAAACATGTAGTAAACATCATACTTAATAGTAAATATTGAAAGTGTTCCCTGAGATTAAAATGACCAAGGAAGCCCACTTTTACCACTTCTATCAACATTATACTAAAGATCCTAGCCAAGGTATTAGAATAGAAAAGATAAGATATCAGGAAAGAAAAAGAAGAAATTAGATTGTAGATCTAAATGTGAAAGCTAAAAAACTAAAGTTTCTAGACAGTAATATAGGAGAATATCTTAATCCATGGGGTTGGGGAAAGATTTCTTAAACGATTTGCAAAAATTACTAACCATAAAGACTAATTAATAACTTCTGTTCACCAAAAGATACCATTAAGAGTATGAACAGGCTAGCCACAGAGTGAAAGAAGATGTTTGCAACATGAAACTAACAGAGTTCTTATCTAGAATATATAAAGGACCCCTACAAATCAATAAGATAAAGACACTCATAGAAAAATGAGCAAGAGACTTCAGCAATTTACAAAAGAGGTTATCTAAATGGCCAATAAACAAAGAAAAGGTTCTCAAGCTCATTAGTAATCAGAGAGATGCAAACTAAAGCCACATGAGATACTACCTTGAATCCACCAGAAAGGCTAAAATTTAAAAGATTGACAATACCAAATGTTGATGAGGAAATGGAGCAACAGGAAGTCTCATACAATGCTACAGAGAGTGTAAATTGGAATAACCACTTTGGAAAACTGATTGGCATTATCTACTAAAGTTGAACATAGCATACCCTACAACCTAACAATTTCACTCGTATACAGTCATTCACATACATTCAGTAAGTGCAACATAAGACACATACAAAAATATTCAAAGCAGTGTTATGAAGTTGAAAGCTGGAAATAACCCAGATGTTCATCAATAGTAGAATGAATAAATTGTAGAGTAATCATAAATTAGAATGCTATACAACAATGAAAATGAATGAATGTAGATGACTCTCAAACATAAGTTGAGTGACAGAAAACAGACACAAAATTATATACTATAAAATTCCATTTACATAGAGTTCAAAACAGCCCAAAGTAACCAACAGTGTTATAAGTCAGGATAGTGGTTACTTTTGAGGAGGAAAGAGAGGCTAGTGATTAAGAGAATACACAAGGCAGGCTTCAATAGTGCTGGTAATCTGGTTATGTACTTTAGTATGTTCAGTTAAGATAACTCATTATTTACTTGTGAATTATATACTGTCTATGTATTTTATACTTCAATATAAAGTTTCTAAAACGCAATGAAAACTTGCTGATTTTCTTTCAAGTCGAACTAACTTTTTAATGAAATATTATTTTTAAGTCCTTTGCAATAGTATCATCAGCTTTTATCTGCTGCTAATTACTTAAGCCCATGGGGAATTAGATTGATGATATTTGACCATCCAATTAGAATATTTCTCCCATCTTGGCCCACACCCTGTAGTAAAAAAAAAACAAACAAACAAGCCAGAATCTTTCCTTCTCCACCTGGTTGCAACTGGCAACAGAGTGGACAACTCCAGGAGGAGGCAGGAAAATGTTACTTTCTGAGGGGAATATAGCCTCCCAGTCATACTGAACTTCTTAATCTCAAGTCCCTGTGCCAATGCACAATAAGGCCATCTTTGAGGCACTGGGTGTTTGCAGATGGAGAAAGGTTTATTCGAATTGGCCAAAATGAGAAGATGGGAGGATAGGTTCTCTCAAATCCTCCTTAATAGAAGAAGAAAGCAGAGGGTTTTATAGAGATAAGGGGCTTGGGAGGAGGAGTTTTGGAGAAACAAAGGAGAAATCCATGTTTCTTTCACTCCAGATAAGCCCTTGGGCAATCCAACTTCTAAGCGTCAGTGGCAGCTGGGGCTGGTTATTTAGTGATCATATCTTCCTTAAAGGCATTCCTTTTCTTGGCAAAACAAGCTCATAAATCCTTGAGACCCTTGAGTCACCCCTCAGATTAAACAGGAAAACAGCAAACTAACAAGATTAATTTATTTTCATCTGTGTCTGTGTGGGGAACAAGGTTGAAGGGTAATCATGTTCTTATTGACTATTTACAGTAACCCTCAGGTACCAGGCTTCACAAGCACCCGGCTTCTCCTGGGCAAATGTGACCATTCAGTATTTGACAGTGGCTTCAGAAATCATCAGTTAAGGATCCTGTTAATTCTATCTAGTATGATGATCTTTTCATATAAAAGTCTCTGATTAAGAAGAGTTTACTGATACTGTATTTCTTTTTAAAAGATTGCCAGCTAAGCTTTACACAGTAGATTTAGTAATCAAGCCTCATAAACATATTCCCTCTGATGTTTTTTCCTTAAAACACTTTGCGCGCATAAAGTCTATCCTTTCATATATATACATATACATGTATATTTTTTGTGTGTGTGAGGAAGATTAGCCCTGAGCTAACATCCGTTGCCAATCCTCCTTTTTTTTTCTTTTTATAATTTTATTTATTTATTTTTACCCCCCAAAGCCCCAGTAGATAGTTGTATGTCATAGCTGCACATCCTTCCAGTTGCTGTACGTGGGACGTGGCCTCAGCATGGCTGGAGAAGCGGTATGTCGGTGTGTACCCGGGATCCGAACCCAGGCCGCCAGCAGCGGAGCGCGCGCACTTAACCACTAAGCCACGGGGCCGGCCCACCAATCCTCCTCTTTTTGCTGAGGAAGATGGGCCCTGGGCTAACATCCGTGCCCATCTTCCTCTACTTTATATGGGACGCCGCCACAGCATGGCTTGACAAGCAGTGCGTGGGTCTGCGCCCAGGATCTGAACCTGCAAACCCCAGGCTGCCGAAATGGATTGCGCGAACTTAACTGCTACGCCACCAGACCAGCCCCTATCCTTTCATATATTTAAAATTTTTTAACCAAATACATGTATTTTTCAAAAATATTTTAAATGCAAAAAAGAAACATTGCAAATAAAGTCTTCAGCACCTTTTCAGAGTTAAAAATCGAGAATGAGGGACCCTATATGACAGATTTACAGAGTCAAATTTCATTTAAACATTTTAGTTTTCAGTTGCAACATTGCATCCTGTTAAAGAGGAATATGTGGAATAAAAATTAACCAAGATGAATGCTCAATCTTCACTTTGATTTTACCCAATTTATATTGGCTAAGGTTGATTTTTTTGTCTTTCCCTAGAATAATCTTTCATTAAACATGAATAATTGCTTTTCTCCATGTATTCAGGTTCATCAACTTGGCTGCGAAGTTGTTGTGTTGCTATTGGAACTTAATCCTGACCAAATAAATCTTTTTAATTGGGCAATTGACCGATGCTACACAGGTTCCTACCAACTTGCATCTGGCTGCTTCAAAGCCATAGCAACTGTGTGTGGAAGCAGGTATGAATTCTTGTAAGTGGAAAGTATGGTCAGAGGCAAGTACAATTAAGGTTGCTCTTCATGATATGAATAATTGAGAGCTGACTGTTGTGCACTTATCTGAGCAGAGTAAATTCTAAGGAAATACAAAATAGCCTATATTTGCCAAGCAGATAGCCTACTCTCTGTAAGTTTGCAGCTATGTTGATTTTTTCTCATTCTACCAGAAGAGTGGTTTGTAGTTATAGCACCCTTCTTTTTTGATTGCCTGGAAGTTCATAATGAAGTATTAGAGCAGGATTTGAAAATGATAAAGAAGATACATGAAAGGAATTTCTAGAAATGTTTGTGACAGGTATGAACTGTAAGCCCTTCAGCCATCTTGAGACCAAACTAAACCCAGGAAGCAACCTAAAAAAGTTAAATCCCGCTTGTCCAAAACTTCGGAAAGGAAGAAAAGAAAATGTGGTGTCCTGGGTTCCATAGATTACACTTTTAAAACCACCACCCTAGTTATGTAAATTAGTCATTGAGTGAAGTCATTCAGCGCTGCAATTTATTGAGTGAAATAATTTCATAGCTAAGATGAAAGGGTTAATGAATACTCCCCAAATTGCATAAGCTGTTTCCAAGGAAGAGCTTGTATATTAGACATTGAGAGAAGGCAGCTCAAGTTTATTTTTGAAAAGACTCATATAGACTGTTGATTCTCCTTTTTAATTAAATGCCACATTTTAAATAGCCATCTTGAGCTACTGGATGAAGAGAATAAAAGTGAATTAGTTTTAAATTCCAACCTGTTACAGCTCTAAATTAATAAGAACAGAATTTTAGAAGACATCTACTTTCAATAAACCTAAAAGGAATATGCTATTTAAAGAGACAAGTATCTCTTTAATATTTTTATCTTTCTTTTATAAAGACAGTAGGTAACATTTCATGTCTAAAGCTTTCATTTTCTATAATCTTAGTAGTAGAATTTTGATTATACACTTTAATCTCCCTAAAAGTTATAGCAGATGAATATAATCTAAACTGTCTGATTTTCCATCAGGTTTTATTTCCTGATGTTAACATTACTAAAGAATATTTATACCTATAGGATATTATCAAAATAACATTTTTGCAAAAATCTCTTACTCTGGAGTGTTTTTTTTATTTTCAGAATTTTGACATTCTAAAAATAAATTTTTGCTCATCTGACTCTTTGATTTTAAAAACTGTGTTTAGAATCTGTGACTTGGAGCATAGATTTCTTTGATAAAAATAAGAGTAATAAAAGTCTCCTCTTCACTGCCCTTCTCCTACTGAACTTGGTTTGAATTATCCTAGTCAAATTTATTTCATTGCATGGCCATCTCATAAAATATCACACTATATTCCTCTGAATAAATCTAGGGTTTTTTTCCTTAGGGAACACAAATAAATGTTTTATGAATTTAGCTGTACAGTCTCAATTTCAATAATACCTCCAGTCACAAAAACATTCAGTCATAAAGCCCTCTATGTTTAGAGTAGATTTTTTAAGATCATCATCCTAAACTATTTTGTTTTCTTAGACGAATACTGCATATCAGTTAAGTTCACGACACTCATCTATTCTGAAGGAAGGTTAGAGGGCCAGGCAATGCCATGGTTGCAGCCTGTCTGCCAAGACAGTAGTCAACACTTCTGTCATTTCTCACCACAGGGCGTGTTCAGAATGTAAAGTTTCAGCTGTGGCCTAAATTTGCTCTCTTTCCTCTTAAATTCTCAGTCCGTGTAGTCTAGACAAGCCTCCAGATTTTTTTGAGCAATCTTTGCAGTAATGTTTTCAGTACCTTTTTAAAAAGCAATTCTAGTGTTTTAGCTTTTTCTTTATTTGTTTTCTGCATTTGCTTCTAAAAAACACCTAAATACCTCATATTATGAAGTAATATATTCTTGAATAGTCACACATAAACCAGATCACATTTTAAATTTCTCAAATAAGTTATCTGTCCAGTAACTCCTTTAACAATTCATATTGTAAAGGAAAGAATCCTTGTAAATAATTACCTGCTCCTTTTCCAATAGGATTGATCGTATACTGGGTTTATTTTTATAGGAATATGACAGCTTATAAGCAGATTCATTTAATAAGGAATCATTTATAATTGACTTTAAAATGCCTAAAAGATTGAACATTTTAAAAAATGCTCTTGTTGATTAAAATTTTCTACCTTTAATTGTAGAAGAGGAAATTAGCCATTTTTGCGTAGTTAATATATCAATCCCTATATTCATCAGCTGTGATAATGGAAAAAATGGTCCTCTACTTTCTTCTTTTTGGTTTCTTTTATTTCTATAGAGGACTCGTGTGTGTGTGTGTATTGTGAACTTGGAGACCAGTCAAAACTATAACTATAACATATGACTCTGGTGATAATGAGAGATTTGGAAGTCAGAGTGGAACTTGAAGTAGACCAGGGGAAGTAAGGATAAAATAGAAAGTGATGGGAGAACTGGTAATATTAATTTTGAAGAATATTTCATAAAATATGTTTTATATTTGATTAAAAGCTATTAAATGCAGCTCAGTACTATAATTTAGCACAAAAGAAAATAGCTCACCTGTCAGGCAGCTTTGGTTCAAATAACTATTTGGCTTCTGTGCCTGTTCTTATTAACTTCCCCCTCAACTCCAAATTATATTAGTATGGAACAGATAAGGAAATTGAGAAAAAGATTAAATGGCTTTGCAAGGTTATAAATCAAGTTAAATAGTATGCTCTAGAGTATAGGCCATTTCCAATCAATATCTTGACTCAACAGAATTCTCTTCACATTTAATTAAATCCTTAAGAATATTGTTTTCACTCTTCCCCTCCAACATACTAATAAAATATGTTTAATAGATGTTTTAGAATTATATATAAGATCAAAGTTTTAACTTTTAAAGAATTTTGTTGAGTTTATTTTTGGAGGTGGTTTTTGTTGTCATTGTTATTTGTATGTCTGTTTTGCCTTAAGTTAACTTTCTGTAAATCTTTCCTAATTTAAATAAGGCCCAGCAAACTTGAATGCTTAAAAGTAAATGCCGTACATTTCTTAAGGGAATAGTATCCATCTATTACCAAGGAAGACAAGGGAAGCTTATGATTCATGAATCCCAATCACACTCCCTAACTGGAGATGTATAGCCTCATTTGGTTGTGTCAGTCAGCTGAAATATTTCAGGAGAGCACAGAGTTGGGGAATTAGGGCTCTGGAAATGTACTATCTTGAGTTTGAATTCCAGCCCTACCTCCAATCAAGCTGTGTGCTCTTGAGCAAGTTACTACAAATGCATACTCCTTTGTGAAGTGGGGGTGAGTATACGGTTAGGGTAAGGATTAACTAAAACCAATCTCTTGACCTAAGGCCTAGCACGTAGTAAGCACCTTCTAAATACTATTATTATTCAATAGCTATTGGAGGTGAAAAGCTATGATGTAGTCCCCTCTATCAGCTAATAAAATCCGATTCTCTTAAGAATACCTCAAAGTTGTCCTGAGCTTTGTCATTTAGTTCTAGATAAGCAGAGCTAGGGGGTATTTCCCAAATTCCTCAAAATTCTTCTCTCTTCTAGATTGAAAAAGCCATTTTATTTCTTGTTTACTTTCTGAATCACATCTACCTTTCATATTTATTTTACCATTTTATTTTTATTCTGCATGACCACAGCTGTCTTTATTTATCTTTTACCCTTCCACTGCCTATGTTGAATAATTAAATACTGAAAGATGTAAGATTTAGTTTCTAAGCCTATTGTAAACATCTAAGTACAGATGTTTTATTTGTGCCCTTTCGTTCATTTGAGGTCTTTCTAATTTTTTCCTTCTCTGGGTTTCTTTCATTTTCTGTATCTGTGTTATTCCTTTCAGTGTTGTTCCACATAAATTCCATAGCTCAGTCTTAAGCAACAAATTGAATGCCCTAATGACATGGTCAAGTGCATAGCCTTGCATAAGAGGGAGACTTTGTCTACCCTTTTCCTGCCTTTAAACACCCAGTGATCCAGCAGTATTTTCCAGTGTTCTTTTCCAGTGCTCTTATGAATAAATATATATGTATTAAATCTCATTGTCAGAGAGAGCAGTGTAGGTAAGATATGTCTGCCACTATGGGGCTCAGAAAAGAGTTTCTTTTCTACTTTCACAATCAAAAAGGTCTGTTTCCAGAAATTGCAGTTTGCAAGAATTCCAAATTAGGCTGGCTATGAAATGTACTGTTGTGGGCTGTCTAGGAGGCTGATAGCACCATGGATAAGAACATGAATTCTTTGTAGTCAGACATACCCACGATGGAGTCTCGGTTCCACTACTTCTACGTGCCCTTGGGCAAGTACTTAACTTCTCTAAGCCTCACAGACTTGTTGGGAAGATTAAATAACAAATCTAGGTAAAGGCCTTTGCACAGTAGCTGGCACAAAGTAAGCACATCATAACATAAATGTTACCCATCGTTCATAATCATCCTCACCACCATCATCTGGGGGGCTGTCCCCAATTTCCTGTCTGACACATCAACCTCATGCTTTTTTGTTCATTTAAAAATAAAAATTCTAGAAAAGTAATCTTTTTGGAGTGCAAATTAGTAAAGCCATTTTGGAGGGCAACATGGCAGTATCTACCAAAATTTTAAATATGCACTTTGACCCTGCATGACTTCTTTTTGGAATCTGTTCTAAAGAAATACTTGCACATTTGGTGTTTATGACATTATTTGTTGTTGTTAGGGCCATCCAGTCAATTCAGACTCCTATTGACCCTGTGTACAGCATAGTGGAATCTGCTCCATTTTTCTGCACCATCCTCTCACCTTCTGGCATTATATCAGACAATGCTCCCCTGCTATTCATAGGGTTTTCATGGCCAATTTTTTCAGATGTGTGTGGCCAGGTCCTTCTTCCTAGTCTGTCTTAGTCTGGAAGCTCCTCTGAAACCTGTCCACCGTGGGTGACCCTGCTGGTATTTGAAATCCCAGTGGCATAGCTTTCAGCATCACAGCAACACACAGCCACCAGTGTATGACACCCAACAGATGGATGGTGTGGTTCCCTGATGGAAACGAACCTGGACCATGGCAGTGAGAGTGCCCAATCTTAACCACTAGACCACCAGGAGTGGCTTTATGGCATTATAATAGTGAAAAAATAAAAATAGCCTTTAAATGTCTATCAGTGCATGTCAAAGTTTAGATTCCCTAGGAAACAGATTCTGAGATGGAGATTTGAGGGCAGGAAACTTATTAGGAAATGCCTTTGAGATTAACATCTATGGAGAAGTGAAGGAAATAGAACTGGGCAGAGGAAAGAAACCTCAACCAATCCCACAGGGGCTGCTGCTGGGGAGCAGGCATGACCATGGCCTAGGCAAATCTCTTTGGCTGAAGGCAATTCCCAGAGAAGGATTCAGCCAGAGATATCAGCTTCCAACACTTTAGTTGGAGGGTTGAGTGCCTCACTTCTGAAAGGGAGAACTAGGTGGCACAGCACAGATTCCGCTACAAGAGTGGTAATTTATGATATGTCCATACTATGGAATGCTGTGCAGCTAGTAAGAAGACTGAAGTGAGCCTCATTGTTTGGTGAAAAAGCTAATCTCCAAACAATACATGTAGGTCGTATAATCACATTTATGTTTGAAACTCTATGTATTGGGGGAGGGGTACTTAGATGCACATATTTATATATTTATTTAGAAAAAGGTGGTAGCCTCTAACATTGGGGGAGAGAAAGGAAATAGAGCACTTGCACATTTTATTCTATACACCTACCTACAGCCAGCACCAACTTGCCATCCCAGCGAGTGAACCATCTTCAGAGTAGATCCTCCGGCCTTATGTGTTGCTTGAATCTTTTAAAAGAATGTTGTATTCACGTATTACTAGTATCATAAAAAATTAAATTATATTTGATTAATATCAAAAATAAAAAGTAAAAAACAATCTTTTTTTGTGTTCTCACTATAATCTCTCACCAAACTTGCTGTAAGATGGGCACATATTCATAGTAGAATTATGCCTTTCTGGAAGGGTGATTCTTCTAAAACAGAACTTCTTAGACAATGTAATTATATACAATCAAAAAAAGTAACCCACAGGAAAAACACTATGTTTTTTCACCTCCAACCTGTCTTTTGCTTTCTGAAGTTTGCCTCAAAATAAATATCAAAATAAATATGTATCTACATATACACCGTTCACTAATTGTTTATCTCACCAGGAATTTTCTATTTATGACCTCTTTTCCACTATAGATTAAGAAAATACATACAAAAAAGAAATCATCTTTAAATAGTATTACATAGCAAGGAAAAAAATGGATTTAATCTCCATATTCCATTTGATTATACTGCTAATTGCCACATAACCCATTCCCTGTGTTCCTACTCTCCCCTAGCTCCCATCCCACACATACAATCAGTTACCACATCCTGCTGATTTTCTCTTTAGTGTTTTTCAGATTCATCCCCTCCTTTCTGTCCCCTCCTTTCTGTGTTATAACAGCTTCCAATATTGACCCCTCTACAATCCATTCTCTGAACAGCAGTCAGAGTGATCTTTCAGAATCGAACGTTACTCCCCTACTGCAAATCCTGTCGGATCTCCATAACTTTCAGGATGAAGTCCATAGACTGGTCATCTTCTGAACCCACATACCACCCAATCCCCATCTCCTTCTGTTCCTCTATTTATTTCTTTCACTCAGTCTGCTACGTAGAGATTCTTTCCTTTTACAGAAGGTATCTTGCTGTTGCATTCTTAGAATCTTTCAAAATGCTGTTCTCTCTGTCTAGAACAGTCCCCATACTACCCCATCAATGGCCTGGCTAATGTCTCCTTGTGCTTCAAGGCTCAGTTTACTTGTTTCCTCCTTGGAAAAGCCTTCCCTAACCCCAAGTCTGATGTAGGTGTCCCTGGTCAGGATTCTGTAGCATGCTGTGGATACACCCATCAGAGCCATCAGCATAACTAGACTGTGTAGTTTGTCTCCTTAACTATGCTGTAAGTCTCCCTTAGGGGAAGGACCAGACTGACTTAGTATCATCAGTAATTTGCAATTGTTCCTGGTATATGTTTGGTGCTTAATAAATTTAGATGGATTGAATGAAAATATTGTGAGATATTGAGAAATTTAGACATATAGTCTTCTGTCCTTTCCACTTGTATTTGGTTTTCATTAAAATCTATTTGCATTAGAAAGATTTTTTGTGTCCGTTTATCCTGGTGCGACAATATTCAGTTTTAAACAAAAACAGAGCTATTTCCCTTTATCTACTAATAAATAGCAAAAGATTGAGGGAGAAACAATGGCCAAATGGGCATGGGAATGTCATCATTAGTAAGTATGACTGAGGTCAGTGTGCCATTTAGAATTCTGAGAGGTAATGGTTTATCAAGATTACTAGGCTGTCTTATAAACTATGCTGTTTATTTTTTTTAGGAACTATCCCTTCGACATAGTGACATTGTTAAACCTTGTTCTATTCACGGCCTCTGACACCAACAGAGAGATTTATGAAATCTCCATGCAGCTCATGCAGGCACGTATCATGTACTTACATAGAAACTTGAGCACAGAAAATAGAAATGGTAGTTGATCACTGGATTGCTGTTTATTGATATGCATTTATTTATTTCTGCATATCACTAGTGGATATGAAGAGTGAGCAAACAATTACATAATCTTGTAAACATAGGAATTAACTGATGCTTTACCTTTAATACTATATTAAAATATGCATTCATTAGTTTTGTTATTACAAACGTTTATTAAGTATAAATACAGTAGTCCCCCCTTATCCATGGTTGTGCTTTCCACGGTTTCCATTACCTGTAGTCAACCACAGTCTGAAAATATCAAATGGAAAATTCCAGAAATAATTTATAAGTTTCGAATTGCATGACGTTCTGAGTAGCATGATGAAATCTCATGCTGTCCTGCTCCATCCCACCCAGGACATGAATCATCCCTTTGTTCAGCATATCCAGCTGTATACATTACCCTCCTGTTAGTCACTTCATAGCCATCTCGGTTATCAGATCAACTGTCGCAGTATCACAGTGCTTCTGTTCAAGTAACCCTTATTTTACTTAATAATGACATGAAAGTGCAAGGGTAGTGATGCTGGCAGTTTGGATATGCAAAAGAAAAGTCGTAAAGTGCTTCCTTTAAGTGAAAAGATGAATTCAGTTCTCAACTTAATAAGGAATGAAAAAAAATCATATGCAGAGGTTGCTAGGATCTGCGGTCACTTTACTGCAGCATATTGTTATAATTGTTCTATTTTAATATTAGTTATTATTGTTAATGTCTTACTGTGCCTAATTTATAAATTAAAGTTTACCACAGATATCTATGTATAGGAAAAAACATAGTATATATAGGATTCGGTACTATCCAGGATTTCAAGCATCCACTGGGGGTCTTGGAACGTATCCCCCGCAGATAAGGGGGGGCTCCTGTACTCCTGAGATAGCCAGCCAATGGTTTTTCATACCGTTTCTTACATTCCTACCTCTTTATAGATCCTTGAAGCAAAGCTCTTTGTATACTCCAAGAAAGTAGCTGAACAGCGACCTGGCAGTATTCTCTATGGAACACACGGCCCATTGCCACCCCTCTACAGTATGTCACTAGCCCTCTTGTCATGCGAACTGGCCAGGATGTACCCTGAGCTCACTCTCCCACTCTTCTCAGGTACCATGCAGTAGTTAATGATGATATATGTGATCTGCTCTATGTAATCTTTTTAAATTCTAGTGCAATTTTAGAGTCAAAATTATTGGTGCTAAATTTGTAGATCAAAATTGTTTTGGGCTAAGTCCAATTACGTATAGGAGTAAATTCTAGAATATCTTTAAATATAAAAAAAAGTGTTTATCTAAAACAATGTAGGTATAAATAAACATAGAACGAATGTGAAGATGCTTAGATTAATCATAATACTTCTACATATATTATATATGTAAAATTTCCCAAAGAAATTAAATATGGGTGGTATAATTTCTAATACATATAATTGCTGCAAGTTGTTTTTTGGTGGTGATGATGATGGTGGTTTGTAGCTTGTATGTTGCTACATGTGTAAGTTGTTGAGAGTTTGATTTGGGGTACATCTTTATAAGTAATCTTTGTGAATAATTTTTGTGAAAATCCATTTTTCAAGAATTACATTTGGGCCGGCTCCGTGGCTTGGCGGTTGGGTGCGCGCGCTCTGATGCTGGCGGCCCGGGTTCGGATCCCGGGCGCGCCCCGAGGCACCACTTCTCCGTCCAACGTGAGGCCAAGTCCCACGTACAGCAACTAGAGGGATGTGAACCTATGACATGCAGCTATCTACTGGGGCTTTGGGGGGAAAAACTGAATAAATAAAAATCTTTAAAGAATTACATTTGTCAGTTAACTTCCTGCCTAAGCTCCCATAACACCTTGCTAAGAGGCGACTTTGTTCTCTTAACTCATCCTCCTTTTCCATCTACATCACCAATGCCTTAGTCCAGATCCTCATCAGTCCCCCTCATCCCACCCCTGCCTCTCACATCCCCTACTGCCTTCTTCCACACTACAATCCATCCACTATGCAAAACCAAATACATCCAGCACTTCTCAACTCAAACTTCTCTGCCCAATTGTCCTAAAAATAACAGCTTCCATTTATTGAGTGCTCGATATGAGCCAGGCTCTATGCTAGGCCCTTTAGATACATTTCGTTTATCATTTAATCTTGACAACCCCATGAGCAGTGTAGTGGTAAGAAATGAGGCTCTGGAGTCTGGCAGCCTGGGTTCATCCCTGGCCTTGCCATTCACTAGCTGTTTGACCTTGGGCAAGTCACAGAACCTCTAAACTGTTTCCTTATCTGCAATAAAAACTACCTCATAGAGTGTGAGGATTAAAATGAGCTAATGAAAATCAATCGGTTAGCCCAGTCCTGGCATGGAATTACCACTACCACCACCAGCACCACTCTAATCATCCTCCCTATTTTACAGATGAGAAACTAGGGCTTAGGGATGTTAAATAATTTGCTCAAGAGCATCTAACTAGGAAGCAGCCAAGCCAGAACTAAATCTAGATGTCTTCCTGCAAAGCCAGTGCTATAAAACTGGAACTCCTTCAACCTATAAAAAGCCTCCTTTTCCAAACCTGCTTTCCACCTTTTCATCCAAGAACCCTCTACTCCAATCTCAATCTTTTACCAGCATGCCAGGCTTTTTGTAAATCCTTGCTCTGTACATGCTGTTCCCTCTGCTGGAAATAGCCCTTCTCCCCCTCTCCCTAACTCCCAACCTTCCTGAAGATCTAACTTAAAATCTACTTCTACTGTGAAAACTTTTCCATCTATCTGAGGCAGCATTAGCCACATCTTTGCATAGTGCCTGAAACAGTGGAGGGACTCAAGAAAAGCCTTTTTGATAAATTAATTCTCTTCTTGGAAAACTAAAAATTTTTTTTATTCACTTCAACTGAGATTTGAGTGTATACCAGGCACTGTGCTTGGGTCCTAGGAATACAGAGGTGAATAAAACAGTCTCTCCCATCAAAGGTTCATAGTCTAGTGATAAAGAAAGATATGCAATCATATGATTATGATACAGTGCAGCAGGTGCAATTAAAAAAAGCACATTCTGTGTCTGAGACGGAGGATGAGGGAGTAATCAATTATTGGGCCAGGAGTATCATCCAGAGAAGTTGATGTTTGAACTGCAGTTTGAAAGAAGAGTAGAAATTTGCAAAACAGACAAGTAGTTGACATTACAGTTGGCAAGGAAATAGGCATTACAGACCAAGGAAGTAGCATATGCATTGGCTTAGAGGTATAAAATAGCATGATGCATTTGACAGATTATATAGCAGTCAGTTTGGCTAACATAACATGCAGGGAAGGGGAAAAGCTAGAGGTGGCCATGGACAGACAGAGGCGGAAGTCAAATCTTGGAAGGCCTTGTATTGTACCCTAAGGAATCTGCAGGCTAACAATCTTCTATATGTGCTCCTTGAAACTCCTTCAGTGGCCTGTGAACAAGGAGGACATCCAGGCAAGCTGCTTGGGTTTTTAAAGCCACTGATCAGTTTCAAACAAGATGAGAGGGTGACGATCAGAATGCATTTTAGAAAGACTGGCTGTGGTGTGGAGGATGGATTAGAGAACATCCAGTCTAAAGGAGACCAGTTGAAAAGGATGACAGTAGTCCAAGGAGGAAATTATGAAGGCCTGAGCCAAGACAGCCCAGTGAGAGTGGAAAGGCGAGACCAGAGTCGAGCTACTGGGCAGAGTGCACAGAAGAGAGTGCCTGGTGCCATATCAGGGAGAAAAGGAGGTTTAGGGCGAGGCAGAGATCATGAGCTCTGCTTGGCATATGGCATGTAGACATCTGTCAGACCTCCCCATGTAGTATAGACAGATCAGAGTCAGCACTAGTGACTCATGGAATGGAAGGGGCTAGAACCAAGAGAACAGGTGAGATCATGAATGGAGAAAGCACAGAGCGAAAGAAAGAACCTGGATGCCCAACTTTTGAGGACTGGGCCAAGGAAGAGTGAGGGAACAGAGAGGGAATGGAGGCATGTTCATAGAGGACAGAGAATACCTAAAAGGTGGGTTTCATGGAAACCCTTGAGAAAAAAGGATTTAAGTGGAGGGAGTGAGCAATCCACAGCCTTCAATGGAGTAGAGAGATCCCAGAAGATAAGGTCTAAAAATTAGTCCCTGGATTTTGTAATTCACTGGTAATTGTCAATAGTTTCCATGGAGAAGTAGCAGCAGAAGCCAGATCTCAGTGGCTTGGCTGAGAAAGAAGGAAAAAAAGAGAAGATAGAGCTACAGTGGGATGCAGAGGATGAGTGAGATTTGAGCATATTTATTAGCTAAGAGGGAGAAGCTAGTAAGCGGGAGAGGCTGACAGTTGGGAGAGAGGAGATAGATAGAACAGCAAATTTAACAAGAAAAGAAGCTCATATAATGAGTTGCAAGCAGGTTCAACCTAAGGTTTTTTCAACAATTGACCTTTTGGCTATTTTGATTTATGAGGAATAACTTTTTTAAAATAATGTGGAAAAATAAGGATAATAGATTCCTAGCTCTTATTTTTACTGCCTTTACTATTAAAACCCCTGAGGTGAGATTTTTATTGCCTATAATTTCAGATGACTTAATTCCTTATAGGTAGCCAGGCAAGTTGTTCAAGTCCTTCCCAAAGGAGCCGGGAAATGTATATAGCATCCCACTGACATCGTCTCACATTTTATTTAATTTGTTTCTGAAGGGGTGAATGGAGGGATGTCTGGCATTTTTTTTCTCTTTTCCCTTCGAAAATGCCTCTACAATCCAGGCCCTGATCTAGTGCCTGGGATACCTCAGACAGACATCCCTACCCTCTTGGACTTATTATGTCTGACAGAAAAGGAGTAATAAACATCATAAATAAGCAAATTATGTAATATGTTAGTAGTGATCATTGCTACAAAAAGTCTATAGATATTTATACCACTGTTAAAAGATGACAGATATTCTTAATAGCGGTTCTCCCTCTGATTGGAAAGGTTTATTCCTCTCTGATGTCCTGATCCTTTCTAGTGGAGTTTAAATAGTTCTTGTGCCATAAAAGTGCCCCCAATCTTTGTAGCCAGAAGTCCTTTTCCTCCACCAAATTCCTAAAGCACTCTGTTTGTGCCTCTCTTGTGTCATTTGTCACTTTCTACCTTGCCCCAGAGTCTCAGAGCCTCCTCCTCAGGGGCAGGAACCGAATCTTTTGTCTTCGCTGTCTCCACAGTGCCTGGCACAGTGGCTCACACCTAGAAAAGGCCCAGTATGTTGGAATATATGAATGTCCTGATTTTATCAGGATCTAAATATGTCTCATAAACGTTCATAATATCAGTCATAACATCCATAAAGTTTAGAAATTAAGTAAATTTTGAAATTTTGACCCATGTGAAATATAACAGCTTAACATTGTCTGATTATTGTGGCACAGCGTTAAATATATTCTTATTCTTCAAAATAAAAAATTGTAATTGTAATTTTAGGAAAAGGGCCAAATCAATTAAAGCTACTGTTTCAGGGATCCAGTGGATTATCGTGTTGTAATTCCTGGCATCCATGTTGTTCTATGGTTTAGCAATCATCAACTAAGGGAGATTACATGCCACACTGCATCAGACCAAGCTCTCTAATGTCCCCCAGGATAAAACAGTTCCTTCTCTAGATACTAGAAATAAGAGATTACTTAGAGCTTGCAGCATACACATAAACCTGTGCTTTCATTTCTACAGACAGGTTATTCAGATTATGAAATTAAATGCTGCCAGCAGTGAAACAATGCAAAAATGCTAGCAGAGAAAGTAATGGTGAAGTGACTGGGCTGGACATATAGTTTTACTCTTTTGGTTCATTTATTTCATAAGACAAGGTACAGCACTGAGCACGCACCTTCCACGTAATTGTCAGTTTTCAAGTAAACAACATGAACATGAGTCCACACACTGGGTTTGTTCTTCCAAGAGGTTCAGATCTCAATTTTTTTTTTTTTTGGTGAGAAAGACTGGCCCTGAGCTAACATCTGTTGCCAGTTTTCCTCTATTTACTGAGGAAGATTAGCCCTGAGCTAACATCTGTGCCCGTCTTTCTCTTATTTTGTATGTGGGATGCCACCACAGCATGGCTTGATGAGTGGTGCGTAGGTCCACGCCTGGGATCCGAACCTGCAAACCCCAGGCCACCGAAGCAGAGTCCGCAAACTTAACCACTATGCCATGGGGCCGGCCCCCATCACATCTCACTTTTTAATAGCTAATAGTTCATGCAAGATACTCTGTAAAATATTGGTGTAGTGGAAAGATAATAGTCATTGTTATAATAATCCTAACCACTGTTTATTAAGAGCCTGCTGGATGAAAGGCACTGTGCTGAGCATATTATATACATTATGATATCTTTTAATCCTCACAATAGCCCATTGTGGGACCCTATGGGCCCCATTTTACAGATGAGGAAACTGAGGAACAGAGAGGTTAAATAGCTCGCCCAGAGTCTCATGCAGCTAGTATGTGAGGAACTAGGATCTAATTACATGTCCGTCTGAGTCCAAGTCCCTTGTTTTTTCCACTCTAATGTGCCTCTTCCACTAGCAGCGGATTTGAACCCATAAGGCCTTCCACCTCGCTCCACTTTTCCCAAGCCTGTACTCTCCTGCTGTGTTCTCTCCCTTGCCTCCCCAGAGCACCAGATGTGGAGAGGCTTGGGGGCAAGCCTCAGTGTTAAGATGTTGTGGCCTTGGGGACTGCTGTATATGAAAAGTCTTTGTAAACAGAAGGCACTATTCAATCTGTCAGTTGGTGTTAATATTTTAGCTTCTTTTGATAACATCGCTCTCCGTCACTGCCATTCTCTTTAGAGGTAAGCCAGCGATTCCCCACGACGCACCCCAATGGGCGTCAGATCATGCTCACCTATCTGCTGCCCTGGCTGCACAACATCGAGCTGGTGGACAGCAGGCTCCTCCTCCCAGGGTCAAGCCCCAGCAGCCCGGAGGATGACGTCAAAGACCGGGAAGGAGAAGTGACCGCAGCTCATGGGCTGAAAGGGAATGGCTGGGGCTCCCCGGAAGCTACGTCACTGGTCCTGAATAATCTCATGTACATGACGGCCAAGGTAAACTCAGAGGAAACAAGTCTCAACAGCACGGCTCCATCATCCGAGAAAACCCTGGGTTAATCACACCCTGTGCTGCAAACCCAGGGAAAGGGGCGTTTATCATTAAAAATCACATGAATAGGGTGTGGACAGTAGGGATGGTCGCACAACAGTGTGAATGTACTTAATGCCACTGAACTGTACACTTAAAAATAATTAAGATGGTAAATTTTATGTTATGTGTATTTTACCACAATTTAAAATATAAGAAAAATAAAAATAAGAAGTCTAACATTTTAAAATCATATGAGTAAGTATTGTTCATTACTGATTTGTGCACTATAAATTGCTAAAAAATGGTTATCTTTCTGATGAACGGCCACGTTTCCTCCTTCTTATGATTTTGAGATGGCTGTGACCCTTAAAATGACTTTTAACCAAATATTTTGCATCCTTACATTTTTCCCACGTCTCCTGAGCCGGTTTTTATTTTGTTTGCTATAGTACGGAGATGAAGTTCCTGGCCCAGAAATGGAAAATGCTTGGAATGCTCTAGCCAACAACGAGAAATGGAGCAACAATCTGAGGATCACCTTGCAGTTCCTGATCAGCCTGTGTGGGGTTAGCAGTGACACACTTCTCTTGCCCTATGTAAGTGTCCCTCGGACCTTCAGGAGTCATCATTCCTGCTGGTGGTTCCATTTGCAATCTGCAAGTCAGAATGTGCTCTTTGCTCCGAGTGAAATAGAGATGTCAAATTTTATCAGTCACACTGATCTCCTGTGAGCTCGTCTAGCTATTACATATAAGCTCCTTCCTGCCCCTGAGAAGCAGGCTACAATGTCCTAGCGACACCTCTGTCACTCCCTTTCCAAGCCTTTGGACAGAGAAACCTATGAATTAAGGCATGGATATTTTTCTAACAGGTACTGAAAACTACCTGCTATAAACATCAGACCCATTATGTAAGAGAAACTAGTAAAGCATTGTATTATTACTAATAAAAATGTTTCATGTTTGCATCTTGATGCTCTTAAGACAGAATAAAAATGCAGAATATTTAGGTTTTTCTCTTCAAATTTAGGTATTAGAAGAGAGAAGTAAGCAGAGAGAAATCCTTCTGAGATGCCCGATATTTAGTATTTGTATTTAAAGGTGATATGATCAACAAAACGGCAGCATTTTTAAAACCCTCCCTCAATTGGCATTTGTGTGCTGGTGGTTCTCCTGAGAGATTTTATGCCTGCTTGCTGTTTCAAGCCACATAAGCCTCATTGCAGCTTCCATGCCTCAGGTTTGTCTACGAGGCTACAGTAATACAGAGCTTTAATCCAGTTGTTTTTAAAATTTAAAACCATACAGCTAAAATTCATTTGTTTCTAGGGGAGAAGAGAATAGCAGGGGATTAGATTCCTTTTTAAACAAAAATAGCTAGCAGGTTTTTTTTCCCATGGTTTGTATAAATAAAATTCCTTCTCAAGATAAGACCTTGGATGGCAAGTTTTCAGTTTAGATAGAATTCATGTGCCCCAAAAGTAACTTTCATAAACTCAGCCATCAGGAAACACACACTATCAGACATGCATGTGAAAAGAGGTGAATTTTAATCCAAATGCTTGGTTCCTCCTGAGAGAGAACGAAGATGAGCTATTAGGATGGTAGCTCCTGGGGGATGACGCATTCATTGAAATGCATGGGTTACCATCTTTGCTGTCGACAGCCTAGCATTCTTGTGGACAAGAGTCTGGAAAATATCCCTGTGTTCTGTTTTTCTTCTCAGATTAAAAAGGTGGCAATATATCTGTGCCGTAATAACACCATTCAAACTATGGAAGAGCTTCTCTTTGAGCTACAGCAGACAGAGCCGGTGAACCCCATCGTCCAACACTGTGACAACCCACCCTTCTACCGCTTCGCAGCCAGCAGCAAGGCCTCCGCAGCAGCCTCCGGTAGGGAAAGGGCAACTAGGTAGTCACTTTGTCATGGATCTCTGGATTTTCTTTTATGTAGAGCACTGAAAGCATATGAGTATGTGTTTGTTACTTTTTGTTACGCCTGCATATACAGTCATTTAAGAGATGGCTTAAGAATAGCTGAGACTCTTAGGGCATTGTCAGATTAATGAAATGATGTTGTAAAGATAACCAACAATCAGTGGCCCAGTACTCGTATGCCACAGAGCTTTTTACTTTAGGCTGATCCCAGGCAGGACACTGCAGTCACTTAGGAATCTCATTAGTAGACCCTCCTTCCTGTATCTATGGGATTCTCTTGGCTAATATTCTCCCAGAGTTGACTAAAATGCTCCCCAATGGTATTATCACTTTCAATAAATTGGCCTCTCAGCATCATTTTGTGAAATATATACTATCCTCCTCAAATTCCTTGAAGCTGGCTTCCCTTCGATTTACCTAACATTGTAGCTGCCTTCAAATTTCTCTCCTCCTCAAGTCTCTTAGGCCCTCGATTTGCCCTGCACCCTGCTGCCAGAGCAGTATTCTTGTGGAGAAGCAGTAGTCTGGGGCTCAGAAGCTCTAGGTACTTGGACTTGCTTCACTAACATTAGTTTAATAACTCCTGGACCCAGAAATGCTAAAGCAGCTAAGAGCAGGGCCGGCCACTATAAATAAACCCATTGCCTAAGTGGCCAGGAAGAAAGGGTTTCAAGAATGTTGTAGCCTCGCTTTATAAGAGAATTAAGGAATGTGGTTTGACCATGACAGATGTCTGGGATTCTCCCATTTCAATGGTGTGGGCTTGGAAGCTTGTTTAGAATGTCTGAGATTGTGCAGAAGATGTAAGGAATCTTTCAAACATGAGATTTTACAGGAAATCCTTTCCTGGAATTACTTGAAACTTGAGCTTGACCCCTCCACGTGCATTTTTTTCTAAGTGTCTTCTAATCCATCTACAGGCACCACCTCCAGCAGCAACACGGTGGTTGCTGGCCAGGACAGTTTCCCAGACGCTGAGGAGAGCAAGATATTGAAAGAATCTGATGAGAGGTTGGTACACAAATTTGGCTTAATATCCAGTATAACTTTCAGCAATAGCCTATGCAAAGGCATCAGTAAAAGTGTGTGGGGTTTCATAAATCTCATACATACACAAATCCTTTGTTTTTAGAAACACAGATTGACTTTCCGACTCTGCTCTGTATATCCCTAAAGATAACCGTTTCTTCCTGAGCAAAGCCAGAGAAGAGAAAGATTAAGAGGGATGTTGTTCCGGTGGCTGAATCCCACGTAACCCAGGACTTAATAAAAATCACTAGTTGTTCTGCTAGCAGGCACAGACCATTTGGAATTAGAGGGAATTTCCATGTGAAATTTTCTAATCTGATTGTTGGCTAATTTCTTAGAGACAGAGTAGTTGTCTTGAGGTGAGATCGATGAAACAACAATTCTCACTTTACCTTTACTTTGTCACATCTTGGGTAACCAAGAACACCGTCATCTCCTGCTGAAAGAAGTCTCAATTCCGTCCCCATCAGCTCTTTAATGATAATATTTCTCTTCCCCACATGTCTGCCTTCCCATTGCCTAAGAACTACTCAGAAGTGTATAAAATCTGGATCACTATTTCCTGCAGTTGATTGTGAAGAGCAGAGAGACAAACCAAAAGAGATAAACAGAACTCAACTTAAAAAATAAAAATCAGGATGATTCTCATGGTGTTGAAAACTCCTTAGGCTGAGCATTTTCTAATGAAAAGTAATGGAGAGCTCTTTCACTTAAAAAATTAGTAACAAGGATGAGATACTCACAAATTCATACTGAAGAAAATTTAATGGATCAAATAATGAAAATAATTCATTTAGCATATAATGCCCCTGGATGCTTTGTGAGTGTCCTCAAGATTTCATCCTGTGCCCGAGAATGTGGCAGGGGGTGCAGGTGGAAGGTTCTCTGACATCGGGTTGACTGCCTCTCGAGTTCTGAAGCCTCATTCTCTAGATCAGGGACTTATCAAAGTCCTCAATACATTTGTTATTGGGTTGCTGCACTGCCTTTAGGCAGATGCTCATCCATATGAGCTTCCTTCTGACTGGAAAGTCTAAACCCAGTAGATCATGAATTACAGACCTTGTCCTTTATAGTTCTCTAATAAAGGCCTTTCTTCCTTTCTCAGAAATGGATAAAGGTTTTCATTCTCCATACGTCAGTGACAGTTCAAGATTATTAATTAACATGTTATTTTTTAAATCTATATTTGCTAGTACCTTCTTTCGAAAACTCCCTCATGGTAAAAAAAAAAAAAAAAATCACATTATTTCTCTGAAGAGATTTCTACCTTCTGGCTGGAGTATAACATTCTTTACCATTTATTGTCTAGTCTGAATTTTCCATTTTAACTTTATTTAGGGTAGGAAGGTGATACATTTCTATATAGTAACATCTCACTACCAAGACCCCTTTAGGACCAGAGTTCTGAGTGTCCTGCCTAAGTGGCTAGTGGTGGCCCTTGAAATGAAGAAGCCAGTTATCTCTATAATATCGAGACCAGAGAGCATCTTTCAGAAAGGCTCTTTTGTTTAGTTCTTGCTTTCCTCCTCTCTCACTGCATCCTGCTGGCCATTGGAAAGCCTGACACAGTTATATACCCACATTTTTAATACATAGTCTTACACTTCTGATTCTTTCCTACCCACTATATCTGTCTATAGATAAATTGATTGATCCTGTTTATGTATATATGATCATACCTATATGAATATTCTATCCCAAACAGTATCACTCTTCCATTGGTGCTATCCTCCACCTACACTATTTCTCTAATATATTCTCTTTTCTATGAAAGTAGACTGTGCTCTCAGCCTAAAATACCATTTTTCTCTTCAATCTACTTATCACCCTTCCTTCCTTGTAGATCCTGCCATGTTGATTTATAGTTTTTAATTCTTTAAAAGCAGACCATATATCTCTTATACATATTTCTATCCTCAATGATTAGCCTACTGTGCTGCACATAGTAGGCATTTTTTAAATGTTTTTTCAGTATGTGAATGAAAATTGGAGAAACATCACAGCCCTAGAGGCTGTCCAAACACCATCTAGCCCCCCTTTCTCCCTGCCTCTCAAAAACCCCATAACAGAAGACAGTTATTTACTCTGTTCTTTACAATCCTTGTAGAGAAAGAGTCTACAGAAATAATTGGTCAGAAATACTGACCAGGATACTGTGTGACACAACTCCTGGGGGTACCAGTTACTAGAATACATTTTTGGGCTCCAGGGGGCGCCATGGAGTTGTGCAAAGCAGCAGCCCAGACGCCATGTTCTTTACAACTAGATTAGTAGTTCTTTGATGTAATTCAGAAATATTTAATAATACCATAATTACTGACAAAAAATTCAGATAGCTTATAGTAAAAGAACCATTAAAACAAGAGTAAAAGAATAAGAGCCAAGCTAAGAGGATAGTAATATAGTTGTCTCAAAGTCCTGACTAAGGAAAAATACTAACAGTTAATATTAACCTAACCTTGAGTTCCTCAACAGCCAAAGTAAAAAAGAAAAATATAACAAATTTTATAACTTTCAATGTGTCAAAAAAAAGATTCATCAGAAGCTATTAACAGAAAGTACCCCTAAACTCTGAGAAGGATTTATCATGTAGTTTTTTAATTAAACAACAAAGTGAACACATATTTTTATTAAAAGAACAGTTTATAGCAGTTTCTAAAATATGCAGAAACAAACTCTGTAAGTATTTTCAATAAATCAACCCTTAATAAAAGCCTATTTTATAAATTTGTAGTTCCATGAAAGGATTTTTCATAGGGAAATAAAAGCAATAAACTTCAGCTATATAAGTTTCTGGTGATCTATGTTGATACAGGGGTAGAGATTAGTAATCTACAGAAATTTGCCCAAGTATTAATTTGAGCTAAATCAGCAAGATAAAATTTAGGGAAACATTTCATCCTACTAGTTTTTCTCTTATCAGAGCCATTTTCATGATATATTTCTTAAGACATGTGCTTTTGATGTTAAAAAGACTATTCAGTCTACTTAATCCTTGAAATTCCTCCAGGGCCCAGACCCAAAATTATTTTCTTCAACCCAAGAAAGCAAAAGGAAATGACAGATTTTACTCTTGGGAGTCATTTTTTACTTTTTCTTTGCCAAGCATACACTTCACCGCACTGTGGTTTTGATCTTCTCCGGAATAAGAATAAGAACAGTCCATTTCGTCTTGGCCTCATAAACTCTACCTAACACTCCTTTAGATCTGTCTCAAAAAGGAAAAGAAAAGAATTGCCATCCGTTCTATAATTCTTCCCTGCCTGGGCCCTCCAGAGCATGATTGCAAAACCAACATATGTCACAATTCTTGAGTAGCTAGGAGTGCTGCGAAGCTCTCTGTCCTGTGGAAGTCTCCAGATGTGGAATTCTTTCATCACCCTGTTTTTGTTCCTTGCTGAATGATGTCTGGGCTCTGCATATGCTGTCTTTATAACTTTGCATTTATCAGCATAAATATGATTAAAGAATTCTTCAGAAGGTAATACGTTTGTCACTTTTTCAATTTCATAAGTACCAGTCTGATTTAGACGATTTCGTGGCCTGATTTCTATGAAACTAAGCAGATGTCCTCAATGTTCTGTTTTATGGATTCACAAAGTAATAGCTCAAAAGATATGACAATGAAGAATGTTTGAAATACAAAATTACTGGGGAAAAGATGGCTGTGTTAGGAGAAAAAAAAAGCTGCTGAATAAAACCAAAGTCATTATAGTCTTTATAGTCATTATAGTCAATACATTTCTGTATTCGGCAAATCCAAATCACTGATGCAGTGTTCCAAGGGTACACACCTGGGACAAGGTAGGCATCTTAATGGCACATCCAGTACTTTTTCCTGAAGCATCACTCTTTCTCCATACACTGGTGAAGACAGCTGTAGCCCTGCATTTTCCAATGATCCAGAGAGAAATAGTGTTGATCTACTGTCAATTAGGGCAGTACACCCAGTCAGTAATGTAGGGGCCACACACCTACTTTGGCTTGAGTTTTCCAGATATTTCTAGATAGCCTTAATTCTTTGCTTTGGCTGAAAATGTTAAGTTGATAAAACCTGCTTTGTATCATTAATATAAAATAAGTATAGACATACCATATCACCCACACTTCCCTTGCCCTACCTTATATAGGTCTTTGGATGATATTCAAATACTATTAATTTGAAAGTCTGTGGTGCCCTGAAGTGAAAAGGTATTCTAGAAATCCAAGGTAGAAGTATAATAATTAAAACTATATAGTTGGATGGAGTCTCACAGTTTTGGAAACATTCTTGCATCATTTCTTTTGATTCCCACAACCCCAACAAAATAAATGGTGAAGTATTATTATTATTCCTTTTTGGCAGGTGTGGAAACAGGGTCCCTAAGGAGGTAAAGGACTTGGCTAAGGTCACAGAGCCAGTGAGTGAGAGCACAGTCCTAAAATCCCGTGTTCTGCCTGCTTGGAGGAAGCATGGCACTAAAGGCATCCCCGCACGGCCACTCTCCTCTGGTTGACACTGGACAAGTTGTTTAACCTCACTCAGCCTGTTCCCTCATTTGTAAAGTAAATAATGCATATCTCAAAGATGAGTGAGTGGGATTAAATGAAATAATTTGTGTGAAGTTACTATACTTCAACTCTTTTTATTATTATTACTTCTTAAACCACAAGATAGACCAGACAGAAAGACCCCCTCTGGTTATATTACACCCCAACTAGTACCTTTTCCTGAAAACCCTCAGATCATTTTAAGGGAAACTTGAAAGCTGGTAAAGTCCAGGATTTGTTATGAAACTATTTTTGTGTATTTCCTGTTTTATTTACTTTCACATGTTCAATCTTTCAGCAATTCTTTATTGATCACCTGCCATATGCCAGGCTACCATGTGAATAAGGAATTTATATTATTCAGTTTCATTGCCGTTTTCTTTCCAATCAAATGTTATAATTTTCTAGTTCAATTCAAATATTAGCCTTAAAAGGTTTATCTTTTTAAGGTTTGAATGTGTGCTTATGAGCGAGAGTGACCACTGGCCCTCTCAAGGAAAAAAGAAATGTTTAGGGTACACTTTTTACAGTATTCCTTTAGGAAAAGCATCATTGGAACTAGCTGCCAAAAAATCAACCACTAAATAATAGTATGTGTTTATGAGTTAACAGCACATACACTCACATGTCAGTATCTCATGACAGTTGTTCTTGTGTTTAAAGGTTTAGTAATGTCATCAGAGCCCACACTCGCCTAGAGTCAAGATACAGCAATAGCTCCGGAGGATCGTATGATGAGGATAAAAGTGAGTACCCACAGGCTGTGGGAACTCAGATGGAATGCAAATGGGTGGAGAATGGGAAATGAGTATTTTGACTGTTGTTGTTCTAATTACTATAAAGGGGCCCCAAAATATTAAGTAACCATTTAATCCAACAATGCAGATGAGCATAGAGTCAGGATCTTAAAAGTAAAAAGAAGTCAAGCAGTGGACTAATCAAAATTATAAAAATACAAACTACTACTCCAACCCATATTTTATATTCTTGGCATTTTTCCTTGGTGATGCAGTTGGGGGAAGGCTAGTAAGAAATTGTCCCATTAGAAGACAAATGTTGCAGTTCAATTTTTCTACCTATCTTGGGAGTGGATTTTAACCTTTAAGCTTTGTGAATCAGCTCACCCAGGATACGGTCTGTTTTCACATTGAATCTCTCAATGGCATAGTCTCAGTAGCCAAGTGAAAACCTTGCTAAAATGGGAGATACAGTTGTCACCAAAATTTCTTTGTACCTTGGGAAGTTGGGAAGACCAAAAAGGTCAATGCATTTATTGATTTTGTTTAAGACCTAGACAGCTTCTGTAGATACTGAGCAGGTAAAGGGTATTACTTGGTTACAAATTACAAAAATTCTGGAACTAAAGAACACTCTCAGTGACATTTAGGTATGCTTAGGAAATCACTAAACTATCTGGTGGAATTTATTTGTCTGTTTTGGTGGAAATCGTAAATATGATATTTCATGAGTTAGGTTCATTTTGTAAGTCAGTGCATAGGGCCTTTGTAGCTGTTGTTTTGAATTGTTTTGTTTTTAAGGGAAATGTGCAGAGTGAAGTAGGAGCTAAGTAGCTCTAATGACACCACATTTCAGCTGCCTTTAGTCTATGCTTAATGCATAGATAGGCAATTCTCCACCATTCAAAATACCAATGGAAGGAATGTCTAAAATCCATATATAATCATCATACTCTGTTAGGTTAAGTTTCAGCTATGTTCCTATGAAACTTTTACTAGAACTGTCAGTATGAGTAAAATAAAGCTATTTGTATTTTCCCTCTTTTCTGTGCCCCATCAGGGGTCTGTACCATCTAAACACCAAACAGTTGAATCTCAGGAGCATGGACCATTAATTCTAGGTGGGACCAGATTTTACAGATGAGAAGAGTAGTAGCTGAGAAATGGAGAATTGTTGGTTCAAGAAAAGTCTGGTTACTATGAAATATTTTGTAACCCAAAATTTGAGGACAGAAAAATTGAATCATGAAAACGTTAAGCAGTCAAATCCTGACTCCCCCAGAATGTGACAGGCATAACAAAACATAACATTCTAGGACTGTGGATTTTACATTAGGAATATTGCTGTCCTTTGCCAGTTGATTCCTTTAAAGAGTATCTCTTTGTTCTGGATACAGGTCATAGATTTGGTAGAAACACTATAATAAATAAACCAACAATCATTTTGAAAACATATCTTTAGAGCCCTCTGGTATTAAAACCTCACATTCCTTATATATATTAAAATAGTGAATTTCACAAGATAGTTATAATAAAACGAGATAATTATATTATTATATAAATTCAGATCACTGACTTTATGAACAAAAAGAAAAATAAAGTTATACAAGTATTTATAAAGAGAAAAAAAACTATTGTGAATTCAGATAAGACAGAAAAAGAAATCTAATATTATCATTATGGCCTCTATTTTACCTAGAAATGTTTATAAATTTGTTGTACCAGTATGAACAGCATTTTAATGGGAAAATTTTAGTACAGAATTTTAATTCAATTGAGTCATGTGTCAGTAGTATCCTTTACATGACTACCATTATTAGCCAAAGAAGTTATGAGTTCACAGCATATAGTTTGGGCACTGAGAGATTATACAGTCATGTGTCGCTTAACGACAGGGATACATTCTGAGGAATGCATCATTAGGTGATTTTGTCATTGTGCAAACATCCTAGAGTGTACTTTTACAAACCTAGATGGTATAGCCTACTACACATAGGCTATATGTTACTAATCTTATGGGACCACCATCGTATACTCAGTCCATTGTTGACCAAAACGTCGTTATGCGGTGCATGACTGTATTTTAAATTACTCATTATAAGAGAAAATGAAATCAGCTACTCAGACAGATCCTCATCACAGAAGGTCCATAAAATACATGCTAAGATCCTTTTCCAGGTGTTCAAGTAATAGGACTTGATTTGGCTGCCTTGGAGGAAGAATCATGTCTAACAGGGCACGAATACCCTCAGGACTTTGGTAACTGGGTCCTTCATGATGTATTTTTGGTTCTAGCCACACAATGATAGATATAGCCTATGCCATGAGAGAAGCAAAGGTTAGTAGGCTCAATTCCAAAACATTATGGCCGGGTGTCTGTTACATGTTAAGGGCAGTTATTTCCTCCCTAAATTCCTGAGGGGATCAGCAGGAGTGGGAAGAGTAAGAAGCGATAAGGAGAGACCTAGTGGCCCAGTGCTTCATAGTTTGGGTTTATCCTAAAGGAAGGATTGTGTGCAGCCTCTTAAGTGTATTTTCTATTAAAAAAACTATACCACCTTGAGTAAACTGGACAATAAAACTGATTTAGATCTAGTCTATAAAGTAGCTTTCTACAATATTATGTAGGCTTTTTTTTTCAAAACTACTTAAAATATCTGAATTATTTTCCAAGACCGTATGCTAATGTGTCTAACCCCAAAATAAGGATACAACTAGTTAAACTGGATAGCAGCTGAATCACAGTGGTTTAGACCTAACGGTAGAAAACCAGTTTTAGGCCGACTTAATCCTTTTCAGCACATTTTTGCTGACTGGATATAGATCTGAGAACATCATTAAAACAAAGAATAGTATATCCTTTCCCTAAGAAATCTCACAGGTTTCTTTTTTTTAAATTCTTCAGTATTCTCCCATTTTTGCTCCCCTTTCAAATTTTATTGTGGAGTAGCTAATGACTTAGAAGTGCATTTTGCGATTAACTTATCCTGGACAGTTGTTTAAGAAGTTAATTTGCTGAAAGTGAGATATTCTGTAGGTAATTTACTGAGAGGACTACGATGAGTGACTATTATTCCTGCTTTAAATTTTTTCCTGGCTAAAACTGTTGTGGCCAAGCTTCATGGCATAGAATTATAGGGTTCCAGTTGCTCATTTTTTGGTGTGTTAGAAAGAGCCAACAATCACTTTCTGAGGTGAGTCCTGATCTTACCCTGGGAAACCCCCTTAGCTCACACGCCAAGAAAACTGGGTTATGCTTGGTTCTAGTGCCTATCCTTGTTCAGACCCTCAATTTTCACAATAGGAAGGCATCCCTCCTCCAGCTCTGCTAACTGTTAAGGCCAGCATTCTACACTGGACCAGCAGCATCAAATAAACTACCTCTCACTACCTTTCAAAAGGGCAACCAAGAAAAACTATATTTGGGAGAAATTGCCTAAAGATAATGTAATACATTCTTCCTCTTAATACACTAAAACCTATCCCAGAATTAAGCCAGCTTGTCTGAAACCATATACCTGGGTCGTATCATGTGGCCCCAAATGGAATTGCTTGTCTTGAATGCCACTGGCCTATATTGAGAACGTTAAAAAGAAATAACGCCCTGAAACTTGTTGCTGTGCTTACTTTAAAGATATTGTTGAGGAAGTTCATCAATTCATTCAAAAAATATTTATTGATCCCCAGCTACATGCCAGATACTGTTGTAAGTACTAGGGAAACAACAATGAACACAACAGAGAAAGGCCCCGCTCTCATGGAGCTTGTGATAGAGTTGGGGAGGCAGTCAGTGCTGGTGAATGGGCGATCTGTGCCAGGGAGGAAAACTACAGCAAGTGATGTGGGATGGAGGTGGATCTTAAATAGAGTGGTCATGGAAATCCTCTGTGGTACAGTGACACTTGGGCAGAGACTTGCATGAAGTAAAGGAGTGAGCCATGTGGTTGCGTAGACTACAGACACGCGGCCATTGGGAACAGTAGACGTGAAGGCCCTGAAGCTGGGCAGGGCCTCGCCTGATCACAGAGCAGCCAGAAAGCCAGGGTGACTGCGGCAGTGTGAGCAAGGGGGACGGTAGTAGGAGATAAGCCAAGAGAGTAGCAGGAGGAAGATCTTGTGAGGCCTGAAAGGCCATGGTGTAGATTTTGGATTTCATTTTGAGTGTGAAGGGGAGCCACTGGAAGATGTTAGGCAGAGAGAGAGATGTGAATGAGCTTCTGTTTTAAAAGGAATGCTCTGGTCGAAAACTGGACTGTGGTTACCAGGCCGGTGGGGGTGGGGGGTGGGCACAAGGGGTGAAGGGAGTCATATATGTGGTGATGGACAAACAAAAATGTACAACCCAAAATTTCACAATGTTAGAAACCATTAAAACATCAATAAAAAATAAAATAAAAAATAAAAAAATAAAAAAAAGGAATGCTCTGGTCAATTATACCTCAATTTAAAAAAAAAAGGATGGCTCTGGCTACTCTGTGGAAAACACACTATAGAGGGGCAGGGATGGAAGCCGGGAGACAGGAAGGAGGCTATTGCAGTAACCCATGTGAGAGAGGGTGGTAGCTTGGCCTAGGATACTAGTGATGGAGATGATGGTGAAAAGTGGTCATATTCTGATACGTTTTGAAGGTAGACCTCACTGAATATGTTGATGGTAGCAAGTTACTTAACTTCAGTTTCCCCTCTAAAAATAGGGATAATAGGTACCTGTTATTGGGCTATTAATATGTGAAATGCATAGACCACTGCCTGGCATAAAGTAAGTACTCTCTTTGTTCGTTCTAATGTTATAATAATTATTATTATTATTATTATCATCACCATCATGATTATGAGTTAGATGTGAGATATGAGAGAGAAGAAGTCAGAGATGACTCTGACCTGAGCAAACTAAAAATAATGGAATTGCATTTTACTGAGATGGGAGACATTAGAAAAAGAGCAAGTTTTCACAGTGATGGGAATTCACATGATTTAATGTTTTTCTTTTTGTGTATCTCCATTGCTCTATAATGAATAACTATAAATTATGTATCCAAAAAATAAAGGGATGAAAGAAACCTAATCAAGTAATTCTAACCCATTTGATCATATAATTCATACTCTCCAAATTGAATGGTTAGAAAGTTATTTTTATAATCATGAGTTTGTAAGATTCTTTCTAAAAACACCAAGTTGGGAAAAGAAAAATCTCTCCCTGAAAACAGTACAGCACACTTGTCTTTCTCACCCCACAGATGACCCAATTTCTCCCTACACGGGCTGGTTGTTGACTATTACAGAGACCAAACAGCCACAGCCCTTACCAATGCCTTGTACTGGAGGATGCTGGGCCCCCCTGGTTGACTACCTCCCAGAGACCATCACTCCTCGGGGGCCACTCCACAGGTGAGCATCATGTGCAGGTAGAGGGAAACAACCACTTAGCTTTACTGGACTTTTCTTCCTATGAGAAGAGAGAAACCTATTCCACATCCCATCAAATGAAATGACCTTTGAAATTACAGAGACCATGTGTGACTTGAATTGCAGCTCTCAGCATATTGGCAGAGTTTGGTCCAATATTAACCAATGTGCAAAGCTGCCTTGTAGCCCTTTGAATTTTTCTTCGATGTAATCTTAATACGGGTATTCATTCTCTTACGCTTTTTAGATTGTAAGCAACTTAAAGAGAGGACCTTTGTCTTCTATTTCTCTTCATCTCTCAGCTCTTACTGCCTAGGTGACTAGTAGACTCTCCATTACGTGATTAGCTCAACTGATGTTTCTTCTTCTTGTGGAGCTCTGTGGAACGTCAGAAGTTAAGCTCCATTTCCTTGAAATAAGAGTCTTACATAATTCTTCAGCAAAGCTTAAAAGTTGTATTTAATTGTGACTTAATGATCTATAAATATATTTCCATCCTCTTTAGAAGTTGCATTAATGTCATCATTTCATTGATTAGGTGCAATATTGCAGTAATTTTTATGACTGAGATGGTGGTGGATCACAGTGTAAGAGAAGATTGGGCTCTTCATCTACCATTATTACTTCATGCTGTCTTCTTAGGTAAGACCGGATCTAAGAGGAATTCTAGCCAATAGGGTCAAAAACCTATAGAGGTAATCCATAGAGCTTTCCTTTTACATTGACATCCTGCTTTCCTCATTTCTAAAATATTTAGTCTCCTCTGTTTTTCATTGCCTTTTTGTGACATCTGCTCTAAAATTTCAGTTGACTAGCCTTTTTTAAAATTGTCCTAATACTACAATATAAATAGAGTGGTACCTCACTAATGCTATATCTATAAAGATATCCAAAACAAGTTGGGCCTCTTCAAGGGTCTTTGGCTAGATGTGATGAATTTAAAGTCATGAGGCATAGTCAGTACACAGAGAGAAAGAATATAGAGCACAGCAGGCCAAGCACAGAGATTTTTAAAATACTCAAGTTGTAGAGCAAAAATGAGAAGAGAAACAGCCAGCCAGGGAGTTCGGTTACAGAGAGATGAATAAAATTAGAATCCTTCAGTAACAGGGAGATCCAAGAAAGAGAAGAAAAAAGGAGGAATGCTAACCATGTCAAATGCTACAGAGAGGTCAGGAGAAGTCCATCTATCAGCATTTTATGAGAACATTTGATTTAAGGATTAAAACATTTTATTTTTCCTAAGCCTAACTTCTTTATGTTGGTAACGCAAACAATAACAAAGAAAACTAAACATTCTTTTACCATGTTCTGGGTATCTTGGAATCTTTACTATCCCTGGAATCTAAACGAGCTTAAAATTTGTTTATACTAAGAGATTCCACTGTTTTATTCCAGGTTTGGACCATTACCGGCCTGAAGTCTTTGAACACAGCAAGAAATTGCTCCTTCATCTCTTGATCGCCCTCTCCTGCAATAGCAGTTTTCAGGCCATTGCTTCTGTGCTCCTGCAAACTCGAGAGATGGGTGAAGCTAAGACCCTAACAGTTCAGCCAGCTTATCAACCTGAATATCTCTACACAGGTAATAAAAGAAGGAGTGGCAGGGAGCCTGAGACAGGGTCACAAATACAAGATAACTGAAGGTGTCAATGGAGCCCAGGGTCACTTCTCTGATGCTGTTACCCCACCCAACTTTCCAAGTGATAAAATAACAGTACAACAAATATGCACCATTTCACTTGATGTTAACTTAGCTCTCAGAATCCTTCTTCATTAAATATATTTTTCCTTATTATTATCACGTTGCTGCTCTCATTAAATATTTTCCTCTTGATACATCGAACATTAAAATGTCCATTGGCCAAGGGCATCAGTCTAGAACACCGAAGGATGAGAATGCAGAAAACAGTGACCATCTCCATCTCCTTGAGAGCAGGTCATTGCCAAGATGCCAGGTGTATCACTTATGTACCTTCTAGTTCCCTTGAGAAAATTTTCACTTTATGAAATGACTGGCTTTTCTGGAAGGCACCATTAGTGGAAGTCTATTAAAAACCATTGCTGTTTTGAACCAAAAATTTCTTCTTAGAAATGAGAACAGAAAGCATTAGCTTTCTGAGTCAAAGAAATTACTCTGCGGTGTCCAGCTGTTCATAAAAACTTTCCCAAAAAGGCTTGATCAGTGGTTTCCATTGAGAACCAGAACATTTAAAATATCTTAAAATGATGAACTAACAGAGTTCTTGGGCTACTTTTTTTTACCTAATTATTTTGTACATTACATTGGCACAGGTTATGGTATGGCCCTTTCATCTGTCACCACATGCTTTCTTTATAACCTTGAAAAGGATGTACATTTTATTCATCACTTATACTCAGCACTGCCTTATCTTCTGACAGACATTAACATATTTCTTTGGAAAACAAATATGAAGTCATTAACTCTAAAATATAAGGACCACTGGCCTCTGTTTAAGCTCTTTATTTTGAACTGAGCTACACTTAGGTGAAAATAATCCATCAATAAGCTCTCAGAGATACAAAACTCTCTTTACCATAGATGCTTAATTAAAAGAGTCTGAAGAGTTCTGGCTGTTCTAACTCCCCAGGATAAGGATGTATTCCATTAAGCACATGGCTTTAGGCTGAGAAAAGTGTAATGTCTGTTAAGCTGTGTATCCCTGAGTGCATCAGTTTTGCATTCACTATTAACACTGATGTGGCATTAAAATGGGTTAGAGTGGGGATTTACAAAACAAAATACAGTATACCATGGGCAGGACAAACAACAGATAGCTAAAATGATTGAATCTATAGCACACAGGGAAAGAGGTTTGGGAAGTGTCTCTTTTTCATAAACATTTATTAAATATCTGTTGAACACCTAGTTTCAACTATAGTTGCTTTCAAATCCACACTAAAAACCTATGTGATAGAAATTATTGTCTTCATCTTATTATAAATAGGAAACTGCGGTACAGAGCAGTTATATAAACTCCCTGAGATCACACAATAAATGGCAGAGATGATATTCAGACCCAGGGCTCCTCACTCTTAATTCAGTATATCCATCAGACACACCAGAACTACGTACTTTTTATGATTATTAAGGGGGAGAAAAGAGATATGGTCATGTGTATACAGTTTCAAACCCATAACACACCCAGAGATGTAGGATGATAAGCAAATATGTAGTGGAAAAAAACATAGTATTTGCTTATACCATATTTCTTTGACTACCATGAGACATTTTATTCAAATATATTAATATACACATAATATTCACAATTCTGGACACATTTACCCCCAAACATTATGTATAACTTACTCATCAGCCATTAGGTGCTGGTATCCTCAAAAATGGTATCATTCCACATATTTAAGTAATATAATTCTCAGGAATAATTTGCTAATGCAGTTAGGTCCAAATGTATAGTGGAACCGTTCATCAACCTGCACAGGTGTACGCGCGTGCGCACGCGCGCACACACACGCACCCACACCACTTCTTTTGCAGAGAGTATCAGTTAAAACACCAGAGGAGAAAATAGCAGATCACCCTTTGTTACCAAATACACTCTGGTTTACACAGCAGTGCAACTATTACATAAGCAACGAAAGAATATCAGTCTCATTTAATCATAACCATAGCCAAAATCAAGTGTTTTCTCCAAAAAGTTTAAATAACTACACACTTCTGTATGCTCACCTCCTGACCTCATTAAGTGTCCTGCCTAGCACATTCCACCTTGACCTTCTCCCACCAGGTGGCTTTGACTTCTTGAGAGAGGACCAGTCATCCCCAGTTCCAGACTCGGGGCTTAGCTCCAGTTCCACCTCCTCCAGCATCAGTCTGGGAGGAAGCAGTGGGAACCTCCCGCAGATGACCCAAGAGGCAGAAGATGCAGACACAGCTGCTGAAACGGATGAGAAGGCAAACAAGCTCATTGAGTTTCTGACGACCAGGTAATGAGGGGTTAGGAGACAGGCTGCTGTTTTCAAGTCGGTTTTTTGGGAAAATGCCATCACTTTAAAACCACACAGATGGGAAAGTGATCCCAGTGTTCTAGCAAAGTCCTATTTTCTCTTGCAAATTGCATCTTCTGGAGTTTGTGTACAAGGCAGACACTGCCAAAGTTGTCTACGTTCCCACTCATGTGCTAGTTGATGGGCAGGGAGACTTTGTGTATAATGATGATGCAGCAGATGGAGGCAGGAGATAGTGGCACCCTGCAGTGAACAAGACTTTAATCATCTATTAGAGCTGCCAGGATCTGGGAGTTCTGAGACTACGCAAAGAACATCGCTCTGGAAATCAAAGATATTAGCCACGGTCTACCCAGGAACAGCTGCAGAGGGGACCATTGTCTGCTCATCTAGTCTAAAGTGTCATTTATAAATGGAAGTCAGAAACCAGAAACAAGAGGAAGGAATCAAACTAATAATGAATCAAAATCAAGAAAAACTACAAGTGATCCTGTTTTTTCAGGTCTTCTGTTTCTTCTAATAAACAAGTTCACTTATAAGCCTTCAAAATTTCTGGCACCCTGAGGTGTCCAGTATTTGTATTAAAACATGCTCACCTGTGAGCTGGGGCGTGCTCTCCTTCCTCAGTGAGTTAAGTCCTGGAAGTCTTGTCTGCATTATGTTATCCGGTATCTCACATGATTTTTCTTTCTTGAACTAATGCATCAGTGAGGAAAGCATTTTCTCTCCTCAGTTAATGATGGTTCAGGGTATTCTGCACAGCTCTCAGCTCAATATGGGATTTAATGTGCAGGAAGCTTAGGAAGGGGGCTGATGGTGCCTACATACAGGGTACTTCAGAGACCTGAGTGCTACGTGGAGAAGAAGGGTTATTGTCACCATTCACCATTGTCAACACCACATGTTGGGAAGGGTGTTCTCTAAAATTCTCACATCTGGCTCCGTCCCATTCTTACCATTGAAAACCAAGTAGACAACAGAAGCTGTATCTTCAATTTGGTTCTATGGTATTTGGCAACCTAATGATGTAATCCTGATAAAAGCATTATCTCTGCAAATGTTCAGATGTGCAAATTAAGCCTGTGTCTAAATCTATATTTTATTTAACACTTTATGTCATTTTATTTAACACACACTTACGTGGCACCTGTTTTGTGCCACACACTGTTCTGGTGAATTGAGAGGTTTTAATTTTGTGAGGTTTTAATTTTATAAGTAAAACATAAGAGTCTGTCTCCACAAATTAGCTAGGTCTGCTTTGAGTATGCTCTTAAGCTTTATAAGACTGAAATTTACCCCCAAATGAATTAGTAAAATTTTAAACACTTATATTGCACCTTTGGAGTTAGAACTGCATATGGGGCTTTAAAAATGCAAAATGATAGCTATATTTTGTATGTTTTTGTGTGTTTTATTTAAGGGCATTTGGTCCACTTTGGTGCCATGAAGACATCACGCCCAAAAATCAGAATTCGAAGAGTGCTGAACAGCTCACTAATTTTCTGCGTCATGTTGTATCTGTATTTAAAGATTCCAAATCAGGTACTTCATCCTATTTCCCTGAATCCCACTTTCAGCATTTTTCTATAATGGAGCTCATTCTCCCCATATGACTACACACCCTATCTATGGTCCTGCATTTGGCATCCATAGCAGAAGAATATTCATAAGGGACTTGTGAAGCTTATTTCAGATGTGCCTCACTGAATGATAGTTAATGTCATGTATATTTGCATTATACTCTATGAAATAACTTCCCCAAGGTCCCTATTCTCCTTCATTTATCTCACTAGAATTAAACTGTGCCTATAATATTAATTTTATTTAAATCTTATTGGTTGACTGTCATCAGGCTCAACTGTGAGAAACTGTCAGCCTTGCAAACTGGTTTAGAAAAAAAGAATTTTATGATAAAATGTTGTTGACTTTAAAAGTATTTGCTCACAAGTCCTGTGCCAATGACTATTCAATATCCTGAACACAATGTGACTCTTATTTAGACTATAGGAGCATCATAATATTTAAGCCCTTAGCTGAATTCCATTCAGATTCAACTTGGCCTGAGCTGATTTGTGTGTGAAATTTAAATTTGGTTCCTCAGCATGACGCAACGACTCTCTCTACCTTTTGCACACACCAGGCTGGCCATATTGAATATGGCTCATTGGCTTTCCCAGCTGCTCTGATAATTAGCACATCCCACAGGTTGAAACATTCCAGATTAGCCACATCTCTTCATTATCAGTGAATACTTGCTAAAAACCAAAATATACTGATAGACTGAAATGGGAAAGTCATTCCAGGAATAGGATTGCCATTTCTTGTTTTGAGGTTCCTCTTTGGAATTTCTTTGAAATTCCTCTTATATTGATATTTTCCCCACTTAAAAGTCACTCAATAATTGAACAGAGCCCAAAGGAAGAAATTTACTGTTTCTGTGTGAACTGTTAATTTGTCTAAAACTCTTGATTGTATGAAGATCATAAAAATGAGAAAATATACGAATGCCTCATACTGTATTCTCAGAGGCTGCTTGAGGCTGCTTAGAGTCTAAGTCTTCTCACATGTTGCCCAAGATATTTTTACCCACTACAGTTTCCTTGTCCATCTCTGCTTTCTGCCTGTTTCCACTACAGCCCAATAAAATGTGTTCCTGGAAACACTTGTATTAGTCAGGGTAGCATAGCTGCTATAACAAACAACCCCCAAGCTCAGAAGCCTAACACAATAGAAAGTTATTTCTGGATCGCATAATAGTTCAGTTTGGATGTTTGGCAAGCAGCCTTACACCTGCTGCTTCAGAGACCCCCCATTCTGTGGCTCTGCCAGCCCCCAGGCTCAGAGGCCTCTACTAGTCCCTCTGCATCCAGCCAGCAGGTGGAGGAACAGCGAGCGAGTGGAGGATTACTCAGGAGGAATTTACATGCCAGGCTTGAACGAGGCGTCCAGTGCCTCTTCCCACATTCCACTGGCCAGAACTCAGGCACGAGGTCACATCTAACTGCAAAGAAGGCTGGGAAATGTGGGTTCACTGTGTGACTGGAGACGAAAAGAATTATTTCCTTTTCTCTGCCACACATTCAATAGCTTTTCCCAAAGGACATTGTCATAGTGGTTGGGGGGGTTCTGCAATCCTACTAGTATAGTTGTAGCATTATGATTTGAATAAGCTTTTGTTCATTGCCAGGGGACCTAACCCCACATATAAAATGGCTTAAGTAGGAAAATATGTTTTGAAAAGCAAAATAAACACATAAAAAACTATGTTGAAACATGACCCATTCCTCAGTTGTGAACTGCCTGTCTGGGTTTACTCCTGTATTTCCCACCCTAAGTCTATTTTCCAGGACCCTTATTTATTCTGCAGGAACATTTGCTTGTACGGTCTACATGTCCCTAGGGTCAAACAGCCAAGCAGCAGCTAAGAACAATCACAGTGAATTATCCCTCCTGGTCCAGTTTCCGGTGAAAATCAAATGTGCCACAGGGCCCTCCAGATCATGGAGACAGCAGAATCGCTGTTTTCATCATCCTCTGACTCTCGTAGCCTGGTCTTCTCCCTGCAGAGAGGCACAGCGTGTGTACGGTTTAATGGCCCAGAATTCAATCATGGGTTTTACCTTATATTTTCATCTCCATCTGACCAAATGGTTTTCCAATGATTGAGATTACCTTCACGCTATTGGAAGAATAAATATTCAGCTGAAAGTTTAAATTTTGGCTGCCTTCTTTGCAGTGTCTACATATCTGCATATTTATAGTCTATTCTGAAGAGCAGAGACTTTGGCACAGGCCTTGGTTGTGTGTAGAGTTGACTAAATCCCCTAACTGCCTTCCTCGACATACACAAGTCCTCTGAAAATTTGTTTCTAACAAATTCTCTTATGAAAAAAGGAGTATTCTTTGTAAAAAGTAGTACAGAAGAGCAATGTAGAAAAATAGCAGGGCAATAAATAATAAGACATTTGTGAGCACATATCATGTGTCAGACACTGTACTAAGCACTTTTCGAGTTGTTTAATTTTCACAACAACTCTATGAGATAGATGCTGTTATTCACAAGTTAAAGATAAGGAAACAGGCTCACAGAGAATACCTTTCTTTCCCAGAGACTCAAAACCTCTAATCCAAAACCAGGACCATCTTGCTCCACGCTTCTGACTCTTTCTACTATACTATGCCTCCTTAAGATTTATTCAAATGTGTTTTTTATTTTAAAGTGGTAAGTAAGTACCACCAGGAGGTACTTCTGTGCAGTTAGCCTGTTTTAAACTTACAGATAACTGATGCCCCAGAGTTGGCAGAGTAGCGGCTGACCTACTCTCTGGCCTCTTTGTGCCCTAGGTTTCCATCTGGAGCAACACTTGAGTGAAGTTGCGTTACAGACAGCCCTCGCAAGCTCTTCAAGGCACTATGCTGGTCGGTCCTTCCAGATATTTCGGGCACTCAAACAACCTCTGTCAGCACATGCCTTGTCTGACCTTCTCTCAAGACTGGTAGAGGTGATTGGAGAACATGGAGATGAGATTCAGGTATAGAAGGAAAGACCACTGAACTCATCCTTCTCTCATTTCAAAGATGAGGAGTTAACTTTCTTTGAGCCTTCTTTCTCTTGCAAATTATTCCAGCCATTTGGACATGTATAATTTATAAAAACAAATTTTTTTTTTGTTTTAGTGAGGAAGATTAGCCCTGAGCTAACAGCCATTGCCAATCCCCCTCTTTTTCCCGAGGAAGATTGGCCCTGAGCTAATATCTATGCCCATCTTCCTCTATTTTGTATGTGGGACGCCTGCCACAGCATGGCTTGATAAGCAGTATGTAGGTCCGCGCCTGGGATCCGAACCTGTGAACCCTGGGGCCACCGAAGCAGCGCACGCGAACTTAACCACTATCCCACCGGACCGGCCCTTATAAAAAAGAAATTTTAAAGGTTGACTTTTATATTTACAAAAATCACTGCAAGGAGCATTGCTCTAGAAATTCAATGGATACTGGTTTATTGAGCCAACAACTGAAATCCTTGGGTGACTCCTTCTTTGTTGTTTTTGTTGTTGGTTTTATTTGGCAGAGGATAGGGGAGTTATTTTGTGTTGTTTTGTCTTTTTGCTAACAACCTAGGATGCAGCTGTGCAATCTCCCCACCCAGAGAAGGGATCTCCATTGTATCTATGCAAAGCACCCCTCTCTGTATGGTTAGCCTTCAGTAAACTGAGACGAGCTAAAGAAATAATGGAGAGAGTAGATGCCACAAGAAGACCCTGTAGACTAGGGACTCCAGAGACTGGGGAGCTGGGCAGCTTGGAAGCCAAGGGCATTACCAGCTCTGTAGCTTGGCCAAGTCCTTCCTTTCCATCAGAAATGTTCCTGCATCTCAGGAGGCCTGCACGCCAATAGACTCTAGCTTCTTTTCTTCCTTCTGGCCATTGGAAAATGCCACTGAGGCACAGCCCTTCTCATACCTCATCTCTTAATCTCTGGCTTTCATACATTGCCATTCTGTATTTCACATGCCTGGCATCCCCCTCAGCAAGGGGCCATGCTGGTTCCCTTTAGCCTTGCCTCCTCCCTGTTGGATTTCAAATGAGATTGATCTGTTGAGGACCTCAGACCTAGGCAAATAAATCTTCATGATTATCTGCTAACTTCTAAGCCATCTGAATTTCCCAAGTGGCCTTTAAAATTTGTTTTTAGACTTCGTAAATTGAAGTAGCAATGCTTGTCTAGCTTTCAATATTACCATTATTTGAATAAAGTTTCATTAATTAAATTTATCTGCAGGAAGTTACCAGTAGTTATAAGCAGTATCAAATGTTGTCTTTTCGTGTTTGGCAGGGTTATGTAATGGAAGCACTCCTTACCTTGGAGGCTGCCGTGGATAACTTGTCTGACTGCTTGAAGAACAGTGATCTCTTAACTGTGTTATCTCGGTGAGAACCAGCTTAATGACATTTGGAAATCAAATATACTGTACGGAATATTTGGGAGACGCCTGGACTTTGGGCAAAGTCCAAAGAACAAGTCTAGTCTTTGAAGTCTATTTATGACCTAACAAAGTATATATGACATTTTCTTAAGTTAAATGAAAAAGGAAGTTACAACACACACACATATATACACATTATATAAGTATTTTAAAATGTCAGGAAGGTAGACACCAAATGTTATGTCTAAATAATACAAATATTAATGATTTTTCATTTTCTTTTTTATCTGAGTATTTTTTCAAATTTTATATCATAATTATCCTATTTATTACATTGTAAACTAAAACTAAATATTACTTTTCAAATGAATGTACACAAAACTCATGTTAAGCATCACTACAAAAATAGTTGGAATAAATGTTGATTTTACTTGCAGAAATTCCTACCTTAGGATCTTTTTTATTTTTTAATTCCTTTTGCTCCTGCCAATGTTTAATAACCCATTTCAAATCATTCACAATTCCATATTCTGTTTGTATAATTGAGTTCATCTTGCTTGAAATTGAGTCACTGGTGTTATCTTATATCACACTGGGCCTTGTTTCATTTTTAAGGCAAGCATTTTTTGTGGATAAGTAATTTTGGTATGATTGCTAACATCATACATACTTATCTATATAAACCTACAGATTTATCTAAATCAATAAATATTTATCAAGAATGTTGATAGTTTTATCTTTGTAGCCTGAAATAAGCTTAGAAGTCATTTTTCATAAATTTTGATAAGTGCAAAAAATTTCCTTTGACACAAATATTTACTAACTTTTTTTCTTTTAAGATAATATCATTTCCATTTCTGTTCTCCTTTTCAGTCAGTTAATAGAATATTAAAGTTTGTACCTATCAGGCACTTTTTTTGTGTGTCTGTGAGGAAGATCTGCCCTGAGCTACCCTCCGATGCCAATCCTCCTCTTTTTTTTTTCTTTTTCTTCTTTTCTTTCTTTTTTTTTTTTTTTTTGCTGAGGAAGATTGGCCCTGAGCTAACATCCGTGCCCACCTTCCTGTTTTATATGGGACACTGCCACAGCATGGCTTGACAAGCAGTGCGTCGGTGTGCACCCAAGATCCGAACCTGCGAACCCCGGGCCACCAAAGTGCAGCATGCACACTTAACCACTTGTGCCACCGGGCCGGCCCTATCAGGCACATTTTATTTCATAATTACACCTACTCAAATTCAAACAAAAGATAAATAAAAGATCAGTAAACTTCCTGGCCAACTGCATATTTCTTTAACCTTTCAGTAAGCAGAAGTCAGTATTAGGTTTTGTTGTTTTGTTGGTGAAGGTTGTTCTGGTGAAGTTTTGTTTTTCATAGCTCTAAGTTTAAGAATAAGGAAATTTATCCCTGTAAGTTTAAGAATATGAGGGAAAAAAAAAAAGAATAAAAAGTAGTGTTTCCAAAGAATAGCTTCTTTCCCTCATTGTTCATTGGTGGATCTTAAAAGGACTAGCTGTTCACCAAAGTATGCTGGCCGTCTATTGAACTTTTTTTACTTTTATACCCAGCTCTTCATCACCAGATTTAAGCTCCAGCACTAAACTAACAGCAAGCAGAAAGAGCACAGGACAACTAAACGTGAACCCTGGAGCAGCCAGTGGCAACACAGCGACTGCAGAACGGAGCCGGCATCAAAGAAGCTTCTCTGTGCCCAAGAAGTTTGGTGTTGTTGACCGATCCTCAGACCCACCTCGGAGTGCCACACTGGACAGAATTCAGGCTTGTACCCAGCAAGGCCTCTCCTCAAAAACCAGAAGCTCATCCTCTTTAAAGGACAGCCTCACAGACCCATCACACGTAAACCATCCAACCAACCTGTTGGCCACCATCTTTTGGGTGACAGTGGCCTTGATGGAATCTGATTTTGAGTTTGAATACCTAATGGCCTTGAGACTGTTGAATAGACTATTGGCTCACATGCCACTCGATAAAGCTGAGAACCGAGAAAAACTTGAGAAACTCCAGGCGCAGCTCAAGTGGGCGGACTTCTCAGGGTTGCAGCAGCTGCTGCTGAAAGGATTCACCTCCCTCACCACCACAGACCTTACCCTGCAACTTTTCAGTTTGCTGACGCCAGTGTCCAAAGTATCCATGGTGGATTCATCTCAAACCATTGGTAAAGCCAACATCGCTCACTCCCTTACAATTCTGGTGGTGGTTGTGTTCATGTTTAGTGTAATAAGATAATGTAGGCTTACTGCTTTTAACAATCTGCTTAGAAATGGTTCTTTGGGAATAGTTTTTCTTTTAAAATTCTATACAATGTAAGTCTTAATTATTTATATTGTAGAAAAGATATTTTTAAGGCAATAGCATAAAAGGGGCAGAAGTAATATGTAAGATATTAGTCATTTCTTTATGTTTTCCAGATATAATTGCAGATACTGTTAGTTTATTCCATTGCTCTTATACCGACATTTTTTCCTTTTTTCTTAACTCCTAAATCTTCTGGGTTTTTTTTTTTTTTTTTTGTGAGGAAGATCAGCCCTGAGCTAACATCCATGCCAGTCCTCTTTTTGCTGAGGAAGACCGGCTCTGAGCTAACATCTATTGCCAATCCTCCTCCTTTTTTTCTTCCCCCAAAGCCCCAGTAGATAGTTGTATGTCATAGTTGCACATCCTTCTAGTTGCTGTATGTGGGATGCAGCCTCAGCATGGCCGGAGAAGCAGTGCATCGGTGCGCGCCCGGGATCCGAACCCGGGCCACCAGTAGCAGAGTGCGTGCACTTAACCACTAAGCCATGGGGCTGGCCCTTAACTCCTAAATCTTTTATTTTTCTTAGCCTTTCTTTTCCTCTTGAAAAGTCTCTTGGTTCCCTATTCTTTTGAATTAAGCCAAATCAACAAACTAGATTTTTAATACCATGGCATGTGGCTCAGAATTCTTTTCATGAAGCCAGAGCTTAACACAGTGGTAATAACAATCCTCATCATTTTAAAGAGTCTTTTGATTACATGAGTAAGACTTAAATTGATTAGCCTATGTCCTCTCATACAGGTTTTCCTTAAAATATATTTTTTGATAAAAACTTCAAACTAGTGCTAGTCATTTTAATCTGCTTTTAAAAATCTATGCCAGTCATTCTTATTTACAGTCCACAGAAAGACAGCCACTGTATCTGAAAATTACAGATCTACTTCAGTGACTCCTTTGCAACTGGTGCCACTGTGATTGTACATTTTTCTTGGATTTTGTTAGATCATATTAAAACTGCTTCCAAAGACTGCTTTTGCATCACCTCAGAATAAAATCTGTAATATGCCTTCCCACCGTTAACAGTTAAAATGCATCATATTCACCTATCTCCATTTTATCTTCTCTAATCCAGGGTTTCCACTGAATGTTTTGTGTCTCCTGCCCCAGCTGATTCAGCATTTTGAAAATCCCAATCAGTTCTGTAAAGATATAGCCGAAAGGATCGCTCAGGTATGACTTACGGTTCCACAGTCAGGCAAGTCCACACAGGCCTTCAGGAAGGCTCAATGTTGGACAGAAATGACCAGGCTCAGAGAGGGCAATGAGTTTCACAAAAACTGAAAATAATAACTGATATCATTAGTAATTTATGTCTCTGGGTGGCTGATGCACATTGTCTTTTCTGGGTTCATTATTAAAAAAACCAGGTGGAAAGAATTAGTGAAAATTATATTAGCTAATTACTAAGATAAGCACTTCTGCAGCCTACCAAAAAAAAGGATAATCTATTCTCTAGACTGTCAGGACTTATAGCAAAATTGCTAACATTTCTTCCTATGACCAGGCTATTTTATCCCTAATTTATTTTCTTCTCTTAAAAGGTTTGTTTGGAAGAGAAGAACCCCAAACTTTCCAATCTTGCACATGTCATGACTCTTTATAAAACACACAGCTACACGAGGGACTGTGCCACATGGGTCAATGTGGTCTGTCGATACCTTCATGAAGCATATGCTGACATTACCTTGAATATGGTTACCTACCTGGCAGAGGTAAGCTCTTCAATTAAGGGTAAAATCTGTCATAATTTCTATGGGTAAAATATTTATATGGAACTAATAATATTCTTAATTTCATTTATTGAGTGCCTATTATATATTATCATAGATGCTGTATGAAATCATTTTAAATCCTCACAACCACCCAGGGATGTAGATACTATTATAATAAAGAATCTGAGGCTCAGCCAGGTTAAGAAATCTGCCCTAAGTTTAAAGCAGCAGAGCCAGCCTTTGAACGGAGGTACAGCTGCCTCCAAAGCTTAAACTCCTTCTTTTTACTACACTAATACCTGTCAGCACATGGCAGAGACAAAGAACTTTTATCCTAGTTACTCTGGGTGTTCACATCTTCTTTAAGGAGTTACTATATGGCTTGATGTGTTTAATGGTTGTTGGCTCTGAACTAATTAACAAAACATACATTTTGAAATCAACTTTTTATCTTCATCTTTTATGTTTGCTTTTAAAACTGGAATGGGATTTTTGTTCTTATACAAATGTGTTTCTACCACATTTGTTACAAACTCCTACTCTGACTTCTGTGTATGTTGTTGATAGAAATACACAGCATATGGGGCAAGTGATGAAATGTATTCCATTTAGCACCTCCAGTCACCAACAAGGTCATAAAATCTATAAGGCAAATGATTGATAACAGCTACCTTGTTTTAGTATTTTCAGTGTACCTTTCCCTTTTGGGGCATGTAATCATACCTTGCTAGGGCCTTTTCAGAAGCGATGAGGACGGTCCATTCTACTTTTTCCTTTAGTTATGTCCCCAATTCAGAATGCAGACAGGTTAAAGAATCAATCATTTTCTGAAAGGCTCCACAAGACTGAAAGCCTCTACCTAGAAGAGGGTAGTTGCCCCATCCATCAACATTTATGGTTGATCCTGCAGGACTTTGATTTGCAATACGGATCAGCACTATGGGGGCTGTATTCAGACTGTCAACAGCCAAGGATTCCTTTGCTCTTTCCACACCCCCATTCCTAGCATTTTAAAAGACCTCTCATAAGTGCCACCTGGCTGCTTTGGATAATCACCTTGGTCACATCTGTCCCTGCAAGAGTTACTAAGCAAGCACACACATACCTCAGCACATAAGAAGTACCAGCATAACCGATGCGAGTGCCCTGCTTATGAAGGCAGAGGATGCCTGTTGCAAAACAAGGTGAAGTGTGAGATAGCAAGGAGGCAAAACTTGCTTGGATCACTAGACACAGAAGTTTCAGAAATCCAAATGGGATGTGATATATACATACAATAGAATATTATTCAGAATTAAAAAGACATGATGTACTGATGTATGCTACAACATAGATGAACCTTGAAAACGTTATGCTAAGTGAAATAAGCCAGACACAGAAGGACAAATATCGAGTGACGTCAGTATCATGGTGGAGTGAGCTTCCCGCACTGAACTCTCCCCCTCTAAGACACAACAAAAAGGACATTCATATTCCAACAGAAGCTATTCACACAACACAGGGGACGTCTGAGGCACCCAGGCAGCCGTACACCCGAGGACTGAGGTGCTGGAATCCCCAGAGTAAGTGGAAGGAGGTAAGAGGAGCTCCCTTCCTTCCCCAAGGACTGCGACCCAGAGACCAAGACCACACGGCTCTCAGAGGAGGGGGAGGGGCAGCTCGCCGTGTGAAAACCGGAGTTCTCTAAGACCCCTCACAGCCCGAGGGAATCCCCCTATGGAGGGAGCAGAACTATTGTGAGGGTAGTTTCAACAAACTAGCCCCTCAGGAGAGCAGAGAGCGACAGCAAGGCAAGAAACCTCTGAGATCGAGGAGGCGAAAGTAAGCACCCCTCCCCGCCCCGCCCGACTAGCGCTTCAACACAGCAGCACTTCAGCTCAGCCCCGTCCCCAGAGGCAGCAGCCCCCAGGCGCCCGGCCCGACCAGCAGTGGGGTGAGCCTGCATCCCCGCACCAGAGGCAGCGGCAGCTTAGTCCCCGCCACACCACAGCCCCAGCTGCTCCAGCTGGACCAAGCCACGGCCCCAGCTTCCCCAGCTCCACTGTGCCATGGCCCCAGCTCTTTTGGCTGGAACATGCCCCACACCCAGCTCCTTCAGCTTGACCACCCTCCTGCCCCCCCGGCTCCAGCAGCTTCGGCTTGGCCTGTGCGCAGGCTCCAGCTGACTTGGCGCCAGCAACTTCGGCCTACCGCACTCCAGTTCCAGCCTCTTTGGCCCAGCGCACTCCAGTTCTGGCTTCTATGGCCCAGCTGCGCTCCAGCTCCTCCTTCTTCAGCCCAGCACACTCCAGTTCCAGCTTCTTTGGCCCAGTGACACTTCAGCTGCAGCTGCTTCTGCTTTAACTGACCCGCACGTGAGCCCCAGCTGCTTCAGCCTAGCTGTACTGCAGCTCCAGCTGTTTCCACGGTTCCCCCCCGAGCAGCCTCCACTCAGCCACACCGCAGATCAGCCAGGGGCCAACAAGAGTGTTGACGGATTGAGGCAGGCCAGAATACACAGCCCTTGACCCCCACCCAGTGGCAGCAAGAGGAAACTGCAACCATATATTTTCACTATGAGGAAAGGTAAACCAACACAGACAGGCACCATGCAAAAATATATTAAAACTCCAGACCAAAAAGAAGATGACAAGTACCCAGAAGTCAACCCGGAAAGCACAGAAATTTATAACCTTAACAACAGAGAATTCAAAATAGCCATCATAAAAAAGCTTAATGAAATATAAGAAAACACAGACAGACAATTCAGTGAAATCAGGAGTTTCTTCACAAAAGAGATTGAAACTATTAAAAAAAAAAAATCAGAAATCTTAGAGGGGCCAGCCCCCTCTAAGCAGTTAAGTGCGTGCGCTCCACTACTGGCGGCCCGGGTTCGGATCCCTGGCGCGCACCAACGCACCGCTTCTCCGGCCATGCTGAGGCCACGTCCCACATACAGCAACTAGAAGGACGTGCAACTATGACATACAACTATCTACTGGGGCTTTGGGGGCAAAAAGGAGGAGGATTGGCAATAGATGTTAGCTCAGATCTGGTCTTCCTCAGCAAAAAGAGGAGGATTAGCATGGATGTTAGCTCAGGGCTGATCTTCCTCACAAAAAAAGAAAAAAAAAGAAATCTTAGAGATGAAAAACACCATAGAGGAGATAAAGACAAATCTGGAAGCCTTCAGCACCAGAGCTGACAAGAGGAAAGAATTAGCAATATTGAGGACAGCAATGCAGAAGTGCTCCAGATGGAGGAGGAAAGAGAACTAAGACTAAAAAGAAATGAAGAAACTCTCCAAGAAATATCCAACTCAATTAGGAAATCCAACATAAGGATTATAGATATTCCAGAGGGAGAAGAGAGGGAAAAAGGAGCAGAGAACTTGTTCAAAGAAATAATAGCTGAGAACTTCCCAAACCTGGGGAAGGAGCTGGAAATACCAGTAGATGAAATCAATAGATCTCCTAAATATATCAACACGAAAAGACCCTCTCCAAGGCATATAGTAGTAAAGGTGGCAAAAGTAAGCAACAAAGAAAAAATATTAAGGGCAGCTACACACAAAAAAAATAACATACAAAGGATTTCCTATCAGGCTCTCAGCCGATTTCTCGACAGAAACTTTACAGGCTACAAGAGAGTGGAACGATATATTCAAAATTCTAAAGGACAAAAACTTTCAGCCAAGAATACTCTAGCCAGCAAAAATATCCTTCAGATTTGAGGGAGAAATAACAACTATCCCAGATAAACAAAAGCTAAGGGAGTTCATTGCCACAAGACCCCCACTACAAGAAGTGCTCAAGAAGGCCCTCATCACTGAGAAAAAAAGAGAAAGGGGATTCAAAGTTTTGAACAAGGAGGAAAATAGGTCAACAAACCAGAAAAATCGCAGTCCTCTATCAAAATAGATTAGCAAACACTTAATTATAAAACCAAAGATCAAGAGAAGGTAAGCACCAAGCATAAATATAACCTTATCATGTTAAACACGAACTCATAACACAAGAAGGAATAAGATGTGACAACAATAACATAGAAGGGGAAGAGGAATCGACTTAGTCTAAGGGAATAAGAGGCCATCAAAAAATGGACTATCACATCCACGAAATTTTTTATATAAACCTCATGGTAACCACTAACCAAATAATCAGAACAGAATCACACACAATAAAGAAAGAGAAAACTAAGAGAACCCCCATAGAGAACTACCAAACTGCATTGGTAGTCCGAAACACATGGGACAAGAAACAAAACAAATGCAAAAGAACCGGAAAAAGAGTGATAAAATAACAACAAGCAGCCCCCATATATCAATAATCACCCTAAAGGTAAATGGACTGAACTCTCCAATCGAAAGACACAGAGTGGTGGGATGGATTAAAAAACAAGACCCAACAATATGCTGCCTCCAGGAAACACATCTCAGCTCTAAAGACAAAC